AAATATATTATATTATTTTTATATATCTATTAATAATAATAAATATAGAATTATATACTTTATTATAAAACCTAGAAAAAAGTAATTCCGTAATAAAGTTTATAATAATTTCTTATTATAGCTTAAAAAAAAAAGAAATAAATTAAATATATTATATAATAGATATTTTTTTACCTTAGTTTATTAATATATAGGACAAGTTCTAATATAGTCTTTTATATTCTTTTTTATACTTTATTAGAAGTATTTTCTCTAGAAAATCTCTAATATTTTACTAGTACTAAAATGCCTACTTATAAGGTTATTATAGTTAGCTTATAGTAATTTTTCTTTAAGAGCTAGCTTATTTAGTATATAGATAATATTCCGATATTTTAATAATCTAGATATATTAAGTTTTAAGTTTTAATAGCTCTAGTAAAGGTTTCTTTTAAGAACTATTTATATTACTAGTATTATACTAATAGATTAAGTCTTTAGTACTATAATAATAGTTTAAATAGTATTTCTTTATCTTTCTTATATACTATTTCGGACCTAGCTACTTATATAGCTAGAATCCGTAGTATATACTATTTATAACTAGCTATACTAATAATAGACTTAAATAGTAATATTTCCGGTATTATTTTATTACTAAAATAGACTTCTTTTTTAGAATTTCTTAGTATTTTACTAATTAAGAAATACCTATTTCCTTTCTTTTAGGCCTTAAATTACGGTATTATAGAAATAGTATAATATCCTATTATTACTATTTATAGGGCTCTCTATTTTATATTTTATAGCTTATTATAAAGTATAAATAGTAAAATATCTTTATTTATATTTATTATAAAGTCTAGCCTTTTTAATAGCCTATTAGTAGGATTATTATATTCTGGCTAGTATTCTAAAATAAAATTAAAAATAGCTAGCTTCTCTGCCTATCTTATTTATTAATTATTTAGTTTTCTTTTAGTTATAAAGTATTTTAAGTTATTATAATTTATTTTAATAATAATAGTATATTAGATATATATTAGGTAATATTACTAGATATAAAATACTAGAATAATAGCTAAGAGTTTAGAATTATATATTTTATACCTGCTTTTAATTATAATTATTTTCTTTAAATAAAAAGTAATAGGATATTACCTAGCTTCTATTCTTTTACTAAAAAGCTAGGAAATTATACCTATAATTATAAATCCTAAAGTATTTATTTCTATATAAATCTTTAAAACTAGATTAAAATAATAAAGAATTAGTACTATTATAAATATAATTTATAACTTCTTAAAAGCCCTATTTACTTTATTTATCTAGCTAAAATAATATTATGGGTTTCTACTAGTTTTTAATAAATTAATTAATTCTTTTATTATTCTGGAATATCTATAAATAAACCTCTAGTAAAAATTAGTAAAACCTAGAAATACTTGAATTTCTCGAATATTATTTTTTAGGGCTAGCTATTCCCTAATAGTTATAATCCTATTAGCTTTTATTTCTATATTATCTAGACTAATTATAAATTCTAGGAACTTTATTTTCTCTATATTAAACTCGTATTTTATTAAGTTTATAAAGAGCTAGTATTATTATAATTATTTAAATATATATTAGATTACTATTATATATTATTCTAGATTCTCTAAATAAATTAAAATATTATCTAGATAGATTATATAAATAATATTTATAAGGCCTACTAATATATAATTAATATATACCTGAAATATTACTAGAGTATTAGATAGTTTAAAAAATATAATATAGTATTTAAAATATTTATAATATATTTAAAATATTATTTTTTATTTATTACTTTCTTATATTTATAACTAATAGTAAGTATTTTTTAAGTTTAGCTTTATATATATTTTTGCTTTATAAAGCCTATTTATAGTCTTACTAATAAATAGTAATAGTATTTGGTTCTTAATAATAATCCTATTTAGATTCCGGTAATTAATATATAAATATAGGCTGCTTTCTTTCTTTAGAATAAATATAATTGGGATACTAGCTAGGCTAGTAAAATAACGGATTTATTTCTTTTCTAGGCTAGTATTAAAATATTTCTAAAGAACTTTAAGCTTTCTTTTTAATAAAATATATATAGAATTATATAATAATTAGGACTCTAGTTTCAGATTTATATAATATTCTATTATATAATAATTAGGTAATATATTTATAGCTTTTATAGAAAATATTTAGAAAAGATTCTAATATTTTTTAGGAAATATAATTATCCTATTAGTAATAATAGTAATAATTCTTTAGTTATTTATTATAGAATAGATAATTAATAGAAAATTATATATCTTATATTTTATTACTTTAGTAAATTTCCTAGTATTTAGAACTTTAATTTTTTATAATTAAATCTAGTATTTCTATATTACTTTCCTAAAAGAAATTAGGGAATTAATCTAGTTAAGCTATAGGAATTCAAGTATTATATTAATATAATTTAGATTAAAATTATATAATATAAAGTATATATTAGCCTTTCTTTAGTTCCCTAGTATATTCTTAATAATAATCCCAAGAATATAATCTCTATATAAATAAATTCTTCTTTTCTTTAGTAAAAATAAAGAAGTTATCCCTAATATTAATAGAATACTTATATCTAAAGCTAATTTTCTCTTTATATAATTAGCCTCTATATCCGAGTTTACTAATACTTTAATTCTTTATTTACTTTTTATTATCTTAATAATAACCTTAATTACTATTCTTGTTTTAGAAGCCTTGCTTTCTATAATATAAATAAGTATAATTACTATAGGATATATCTATTTCCTAACTTCTTTAGTTCTAGATACTTATATATTTTATAGCTAGACTTATTATAATTATAATAAGTCGGTTTCCCTTAATTAAGGCAAGTAATAATATAGTAATTCTTTTTCTAGTAAATAAAGCAAATTATATCCGGTTTTATAAATTCTAATATAAATACTATATTAGATCTTATTATTATATCTTTATTATTCTAGTTTTATAAACCTTATAATAGAATTTTATTTCTCTTTTATTTCTCTTTATTATTTTTTTATTTTTATTTTTTATTTTCTTTCTTTTACTATCTTATTAGCTTATTATTATATTTCTATTAAGTAAATAGGTTTAAATTATTCTTAATTCTTATAGTAATAAAAATAAGTTTCTTTCTTTCTTATAAAGTATTTCTTTAATAATTAATCTTATCTCGGATCTCTTACCTTAAGCTATTAAATAAGTTATTTTGCTTTTATAGTAAATCCGTATATCTTAAGTTATCTAATAGGCTATTTAAATAAGATATAAAGTTTTAAATATTCTAACCTAGCTATTATTTAGTATCTTTAAACTTAGTAAGAATATTATTATTATAGTTCTCTAGATCTAAGATAAAATTCTTTATAAATTTAATAAAAGTTTCCTAATTTATAATATTAATACTTACTAATTATTTCCTATATTTCTAGATATTTCTAGCTATATTCTTAAAATAGGAAGTATAATATGTAATCTTTACTATATTAGTAGCCTAGATAATCCCACTATCTTTATATTATTTTAACTTTGCCTAATAGAAGAAGTCCTGGGTTTCTTTAATATTCTTTTTCCGGTAAATAGGCAGTTCTCGGGTTTTTAGAGCCCTCTAAACTAAGGGTACTACTAGGGGTATAACGGGTTCTATACCAGATATCCAAATATTTTTAAAATAACGGATCTGAGCTTCTAGCTTCTCTAGATCTTCTCTCTATTATATCTCTATTTCTAACTTAGTAATATAATAGTAAGCCGCCACTAATTTCTCTATTATTATTATTCTATTCGCTAGTTCTGGGGGCATCTGAATTCTACTTCCTTCTCCTAATTAGGTAGTATAAAGAGTACTTGACTGGGCGCTCCCCTGGGTACCCGGTTAGGTTGCCCCAGCGGTAGTAGAGGCGCTTCTTCTAATTAATACTCTAGCCATTAATATTTTTGTCTATTAATAGCTTAACTACCTCGTAATGAACTACTCCCCGAAGGTTGGATTAATTAGAATATAAGGTACGTAATAGCAGGGTAATACACAAGTAGTCAAGGTAAGTAAGCTGCAGAGTGACGCTTGTAAGTGTAACTGATTCCAAGAATTAATTCTAATAAAAGACTAATTAATGCCCCTTTCTAAAGCTAGGAGCGTCTCCCTATATGTTCCCTAGTGCTTAGCCAAGCCTGCAAAGCACTTTACTTAACTAGGAAACACGATCCCATGCGATCCGTACGATTCCGATCGCCCGTACGATTCCGATTACAAGCTTTACCTAAAATAGGAAACTAGATCCACGACATCTGATACCTGTCCATACGCCATCACGTGTGCCCATCACATCTCTTTAGCTTAGTATTTTCAATATATGAGATTCTTGGATCTTTGAGCCCTGGCTATTGCCTCAATTCCGCTATTACAAATCTTATATAATAAAGCTTATTAACGAACTAATTTTTACTTTAATAAATAAATAAATAAAATTTTTATATAATTTAAAACTTATATATATAAGAAATATACGAGCTATAAGAGGCTTTATAACTTTAATTATTAATACCCTAGAGCTTTTTACTTTTTAATATATTATAGTAGAATGCCCTTTAGCGAGGCCTTAGTAAGACGGCTTAGGCTATCTATATAGACGTCGCTCTTTAGACAAAGAACCAAATCCATGCCATAGTGCAAGAGAAATACGCCCTGAGAGGTTAATGGTTTTTTGGGGGTAAGAAGGTCCCGTTTGGGATCCCTGGGAGCCAGATTCGTCCCTGGGAATATAGTTGTCTAGACTTGAAACCTTGCACACTCACAATCGCCCACCTGCACGAGCTTGATGCCGGACTGATGGGCTGGGAAGCCTCGGTGCACGATCTTGGTGAAGTGGTGCTCGATCGCCCAGTGCAGGATATGTTCATCGTTGGCTTCCCCATTGGTTATTACGATTAAGTTTAGGGGGAGGGGTGTGCGGTAATAGCGAAGAGAGCACATGTAGGTGTCGGGGATGTCGTTTACGCACTAGCCGGTAGGGGTTCCGTTCGAATGGTAGCCACTGTCGGATGCAACCTGGACAGCAGCTGAGGTCTTCAAGCCTCCGTAGAAGGGGACTCGGTTAAGGAAGTGTAGGTCAATACCTTGGGGGTTGTACATGGAGACGAAGAAAATGAGGTCTGCGAGCATGTTGCGGGCTTGTGTCCAGCAGCTCCAGGCCATCACGCTGCGGGAACCTCGGGATTTTAGGGCGGGCGTGATGATAGTTTTCAGTTCCTGATTGGACATGATGGCCCTAATGTGTGTGTTTGGGGATGAGATATGAGCCGATAACCGAGGTGAGGACTTCTACGCTTTGGGGAGAGCTGTGAAGGGTTTTCAGGGCGTGGTGGTGTTTGTCTGCCGTTGAGGATCGTGGATGAAATTTGACCTCGGTGTCTCGAGGATCCAAATATGCTGGCGGTTGTGAGTTTTAAGTCATGACAGGTTCTGGTCTGTATGAACCGCTCTGAACCTGTACCGGAAGCTGTTGAAAGGATGTTCGGAATTGCACTGAGAGTTGCTGAAATGATGCATTTGGGGAGGAACTATTTGGGTGATAGACTGATTTGGTCCCGGCCAATTCGGTGGGGTGCCCGAGGTGTTGACTGATAAGCTGCGTTTGGCCTGTTTTGGGGCTCTGGTGTATAAATTGGTGAGGGAACGACTCCTGGCATTGTTGGATATTTCACTCCGGGACTTGGTTGGCGGACCGCAGAGGTAGATGGTTGCGGTTGGGCAAGGTTGTGGGTTTTGTTGAATTTCCTGGGGTTGTGGCTTGGGTGTACAGGAAGGCGGAAGAGTTGACGTTGGTTAACAGGTTGCCCCAGGACTATTAGTAGATTGAGGCCGCGGCAAGGAAACTGGTTGATTTTGGGGCTAAATACGCTTAGGAGATTGTTGGTAGACTCCCTGAAATCTCTGCGGAGCTTGGGACAACGTTTGACAGCTTGGCTGTAGGGGTGACTTGAATAACTAGACTGGGAGGACTGGACTGGGATATCTGAGGACAAGCTCTAGGAGGCTGTTGGAGGCCAGTCTGTGGTATCTGTGGATAGCTACCAGCAAATCCTTGCTGAGTTTCGATTTGAGGTCATTTAGAAAAATACTGGGGACGATAGGCTTGTGGCGAGAGTCCGTATACAGTACCTGCCAGATTGGTTGACACCATAACCTGTTTAACACGCTGGTATTGCTAATTGACCCCATTCTAACCGTGCCGACAGGTTGCAAGTAGGGGCCATTTGGCTGAGAACTCTAGGTCGCACGGCCGAAGGAATTAGAAAAGTCCGGGCAGGTTCTTGAATTGCGCACTTACCCGATGGCCAGACCTTCGGGATGGTTTTCGATCCCATTCAATAACCCTCCGTGGTGAGGCATAATGACTAAATACGGCGTTTATTGCTTACACTCGTGAAAACCACCTGTACTGTGCAACACTGCAATACTTAAACCCCAATAAACAACGAGCTACGCATCTCCATAAAGAAATAGCGCAAAATCACCGAATCTATTTGACAGAAAGTGGCGCAGACTTTATCAAATGTGTCCGAGGAATTAGGATTATCATTGAGGTAAGAAGGAGGAAGCGAACGGAATCATGAATGTCAAGTGGTGGGAGATCATGTTGGAAATTGGTGCCTAAGGCTACCAGTGGCAATTCAGTTATGCAAGGGCATTCAGCTAAATATGGGTTTTTAGTGGTAATAGGGGCTATTTGGGCATGTACAAGTATAAGCCTTAGATCACTGCAAAATGGACAGTCGTCTGAGAAGCATTGCACGTGACTTTTGCTTTGAATTCTCAATAGATCAGACGAATTTGGGCAGGCAGGCGAGGCAGGACAGCCCCACTCCTAGCTCAGCAGAAGGATTTTCTCAATATTACTTCGAGGATTGACGATGTCTTGAAATCATACGAAAGATTACTAGGTCTCGGTGAGCGCACTGAGTCAACTGCGCAAGGCGTGTCAAAGTGTGAAGCACGTGACGGCTCTGATCGCTGCGAGTCATCTCCACATGCCAACTTTCTTTCAACAACCCCTCAACCTTGCTTTATTCATTGTGCCCGTCAAGTGACAATGCAACGGCTCTTCTCCGTCCCCTCTCTCTTCATCACCGTAATGTCGCATCTTGATTTTGATTGCGCACACAAATTTACTCATGTCCCGTGATTCGGGGCGCTTTACAGTGCCCAGAACTCGACGAGGCGACGCTTGGGATGCCTATAGAATTGGAAACTTTTACGCGTAGTCACAATCTTCTTTCAGCATCGCCAACAGCCCTTCCAATTTCACCATCCTCCAACCTTCTTCTCTCCCATCATCGCCAGTCACGGTCATCTCAGCCCAGCGGAGCAGGCCTCCAGGTGTGGCGCTTCGCTTGGGCATCTCCCCTGCAGAGCTTCGGAAATGTTCTGCTAAGGTCCTTGCGAGTGCCATCTTTGGAGGTGCCTCTCGTATTTCGGCGCAAAATGTGCCGACTTTACTTTCGGCTGAAGCGGCTGTGTCGCAAGGCCTGGCAGAGACAGCCGGGCTGTGTTTGACCTTGTGCGCTGATTGGAGCAGAGCTAGATTGCTCACCAGGTGAACATTAACGCACACCGAAGTATTCTTTCTGCCTACGATGATACTATTGAGAAAGGTATATTATTCTCCCTGAGTTCTCCAGCTTCATTCACTCACCTATATTCTGCAAAAAATCTTAAATTCAAATTCCTCGACATAGCCAGACAACTCCAGTATAGCAACGACCGTCAACTACTCCTGCTAGAAGGATCCGGCTAAGATCGCTAGCAATGCACCCGGAACTTCAATCGGCACTCAATGCATATCGATCCAGCCGTTGTTTTGACCCAGAGCGGTATCTTCAGGCCAAAAGCTCCTTGATCAACGCATATTTCACACAAAGTGGCATCAGCGGTTGTGTCGTGGGTGTGAGCGGTGGGGTTGATTCGGCGGTGACACTTGGAATCATTGCCCATGCGGCACGACAACCGGGCTCGCCAATCCGTCGCATCCTGGCTCTACTCCTCCCCATGCATGGGGAGGGTGCAACCCATCAAGATACTGCTTCATCTCGAGGCGCTGAAGTAGCCGCTGCATTCGGAGTCCCAAGCGTGACGGTCGATCTCTCTTCAACCTTGACAGCTGCACGCGAGGCAAGCGTGGCGAGTACTGGAATCAAAGGAACAGCATGGGCGTCTGGGCAACTCGTGTCCTACCTACGCACTCCGATGCTTTACTACCAAACTGCCCTTCTTACAGAACAAGGCTTCCGATCCATTGCCTGTGGGACCACCAACCGTGACGAGGGGAGCTACATTGGATTCTTTGGCAAAGCTTCCGATGGGATGGTCGATATCCAGCCAGTTTCGGATATCCACAAAAGCGAGGTCTATCAACTTGCGGATGGGCTAGGAGTCCCTTCCAGTGTCATCACCGCTGTACCCACGGGAGATACTTATGATGGTGCATGCGATGAAGACATGATCGGCGCTCCGTATGATGCTCTCGAGATCTATACGTGGTATCTTTGCACTGACCCGAGAGACGGCGGGCCGTGGCGCGCCTCATTGTGCCCAGATGCCCAAAGCGAATTCATGTCGTGGGAAAAGAAGTTCGAGAGACTGCATCAGGTCAACACCCACAAGTACATTGGCGACTCTCCGGCCGTACACCTGGATCTCTACCCGCGCGCTGTTCCTGGTGGATGGCGCACACAAGAAGTCGAACAGTTCCCCAACCCGATTCCACATGAGGGAGCACTTGCCATGCGTGTGGGTCCTATCGAGCTAACATCGCGACTCAAACACGCTCTTCGTGGTGATGCACGTAGGGCGACATCGGTGAAGTCGCTTGCTGACTTTGGAGAATCGGCCTTGCTGCTCCGTGACGTTTTGAGCGCCCAAGCGTGCGACGAATTCCTTCGCGATGCTGTCAACTGGCCATGGGTTCCTGCCGATATTCACGGCAGGGTGCTCGTCCCTAACAGTGAACTACTCGCTGATGAGGAGGGTAGGGTGATTGGCTCTTATCGCTCAACTGCTTATGATGAGGAAGTCGCCCAGCTCCTTTGGGATCGCCTCGCTCCTTCTCTGCCTGGATTTCGGACAATGAGCGATTTCACTCCCACGGACTGGAACGACCATCCCGTATGGCGTCCTGTCGGAATTAATCCTATGCTGCGCTTCATCCGCTATGAGAAGGGCGGGGCACTTGTTCCACACTATGATGCAGGATTCGATTTCAAAGATGGCCGCAAACACACTCTAATGAGCGTTGTAATAACATTGACACCACCATCACAGGGGTTGGGTGGAAATACACGCTTTCTAATCGACCATCAGCGTTTTCTTCCCCTAGATGAGCGTAACTATACGGACCATGATACGCAAGCCTCCTCGTGCGATATACTCGTCGAAGTACCTGCAAAAGCTGGCGATGTCCTAGTTTTCGACCACCGAGTCCTCCATGACGGCTCTACTTGGAATGGAACGAGTCCAAGGATCCTCCTACGTACCGATATCATTTACGAACGGTGCTCGTCACATGCGATACATGTCTCGAAAAGAAGTGCGCCGCTACCATCACTGCCACCTGAGAAATGGGCACGCGATCCGACATTTGCAAATGCCTATAGAGTTCTCGGGGGTGTGAAGGAGATCGAGGAGGCTGGGTACTTCGAGGACGGCTTGGAATACTCTCCTCGCTCTGACCCGAGATGGTGGACTGCCCCGTTTGACAAAATACTGAAAAATCTGGCACAACAAAAACCGCAAGACTCTTCAAAAGAGCTTTATGTTCTAGTCAGCACGGGTGCCTTTTCCCCAGTCCACGCTGGGCATCTCGAAATGATGGAACGGGCGAAAATTGCACTGGAAGAGCGCGGCCATGCGATACTCGGCGGCTATTTAGCACCAGATCACGATTCTTATATATCTCGGAAGTGTGGCGCGGATTTCACACCCGCTGCTCAACGTTTGGACCTCTGCGAACGTGCCATACGTAACAGTGACTGGTTGATGGTAGAGCGCTGGGCGGCGCTGCATGTTCCAGCAGCTGTAAACTTTACAGCTGTCATCGAAAGACTCGAGAAGCACCTAGCATACTACGTGCGCACCCACCGCCCCATTCACATCGTATTTGTATGCGGCAGCGACAACGCGAGATTTGCAAAAGCATTTGCTGGACGCGGCTCCTGTGTCTGCGTTCTGCGTCCAGGATACGAGGCGGAATTTAAAAGAATCGCTGAGGATCCCGTTGTCCAACAGAATCCCCGGATTGTGTTTACTCCAAACGTAACTTCTCCTTGGACGTCGTCCAATGTTCGCCGCGGGGATATACAAGCTCTTCCAGAGGAGGTCAAAGATGAATGGCTTCGTCTGCGCACAATCAATCATGGTAGGGATGTCCAAACACCGGGTGTCGTCAGTCTCTACGTCCGTAATGAAGGCGACTGGGCCGTCCAATCTTGGGAGCACCTGCCAGGCATGGATCCTACCCGTCTCCACCAAGCATATCAAACATTCTCAAAGGGTCTCGTGACCGCTTTAGAAGAATCCTTTTCTCGCGGCCGGAAGTTGGAAGGTGGTCCCGATGTCCAAAGCTTCACCCTCGACCTGGACAACCAGAAAAGGATCTTTCAGGGTATCGCCGACTCTTCTCCCATCATCAGCTTAGACCCTTGTCTCCCCGGCGCCGTCAACATGGAAGTCTCGCGCTGCTTCGAGCCACTGAGCAGAGTAGACCCGGGCTTCGTCGCTCGTCCCGGCGCAGAGCCGATTGCTACGCAGCTGGAGCGCCTCGAAAATACCTCTTATATTCTGTTTGACGACGATACGTTTACGGGCCATACGCGAGACTATGTTCGCGCCCTGGTCGAGAGCAGATGTAGGGTTGCGAAGTTCGCCACGCTCTGTGACGCTTCGGGACCCCTATCCGCCTCACCAGAAGGAAAAAAGAAGTCAGACTACCCACCTCGCCTGAACCATGTGGATTGTAGGGACTTTCTTGTCGGTGCTCGCGAGGCAGGATTGGTGGTGAGACTACCCGATGGCTCTCTCTGTCGCGCGCCCTACATGTTGCCGTATGTACGTCCGCACTACCAGGCAAGCGTTTATCTATCCGAGGAAATAGAGTTCTCGCGGAGGGTTTGGGGTCTTAATAGGCGGTTCTTTGAGGATCTTGGGGCAACGCTAAGGGTCCTGGATATGGGCGGTGCTTTTAGGAGGTTGTGCGAGGTGCAGAGCTTTTCGGGAGAGATGACAATGGAGGAGTTGTGTGATTGGCACCTCGAGCACTTAAACACTTCATCTGTCCCTTCGAATCCTGACAGCACATAGTAGGATAGACTCCTTTGCAATTATAAAGTACAGCACCTAGTTAGCCTTAGATTTATAGATCAATTTTAGTCACTTCATGACAGTTATTTACATTGGCGCTAGGCGAAGAAGTTACAGCGATTGCCCTGGGAAATCCGAACTTGTGGCAGAGTCCCAAACCAGCCGAGAGGCCTCCAGATTTGGCCATGGCGATAAACGGGTATTTTCCTATGTGAATGTGATTTGGAAATTCAAGCAAAAAAGGACGGAGCAGCAAAGAGATCTAGTGCCTCTTCTTGAACCCTACTGGTGACTGATGCTGACAAGGCGTGCAGCTTCCACAAAATATGGCCCAAGAAAATAATAGGCGAATGTAGGGAGGTCACCTGACGCACCAACGTTTGGGCTTCTGTTCCCGCCGGAACCCAAGAGGAATAAACGACATAACACTTCATTTCCAGCTCCCTACTTCCCGTCTGTATTGCGCATCTAAACCCATTCACTGCACGATGATAGACTCTGGAACAAACACATTGGTATTAGGCATAAGCGGTGCCTCATCTAGCGGGAAGACCACACTGAGCCGGCTGCTCCGTGATATCTTCCCAAACACATTCATCCTGCACGAGGATGATTTCTTCAAAGAGGATAAAAAGTGAGCTTTTTTAATACAAGCCATTTCTCCTCACTATCTATTGGCGCTCTAGAATAGATTGCCCTCCCAACAACCCCCATCCAAATTCATCCATAGATTACAACTTTTACATGCATACTAATAACTCGTTTAAGCCTTGCCTTCAAACATGGTCTCAAAGATGGAGATTGTGCCGAGGCACTCATGATCCCAGAGATGGCTGCAACCTTAGCCTATATTAAAACCCATGGCTCTTTCCCAGTGGGTGGCTTCTGCTTTTGCTTATTTATCAAACCTAGATCAAATCTGACGTCCGGTCCTTCATCCAGCCAGATTCCGCGTCAACCGAAGACCTTACCGCCGTCTCCGAATCAGAATCTCTCGTCCTAGCCTCCACGATAGCCGCGCTCAAAGCCAAGGTCAAGCAATGGACTTCCGAAACAGAAGCAGGAAAAAATCTTTGTCGTAACTCCTCATTAAAGGATCCCGGTTCGAATTCTGGCCCAGCTTTGAAAATCTGTATTCTTGATGGGTTCCTGCTGTATGCTGAGTCAATGTCTGCTATCCACCAGTACATGGATATCAAGTATTTCATTCAGGTTAGCTATGGGGCATCGAAAGCAAGGCGGGAGGGGAGAGCTCCTTATGTGCTAAAGGATGGAAGCGTGTGGACCGAACCGCCGGGATACTTTGATAAGATCGTTTGGCCAAATTATGTAGAAGAGCATGGGTGGATGTTTGAGGACGGTGATGTGGATGGGAGGGTAAAGAGAGATGTGGTGAGGGAGAAAGAGATTGAGGTGCTGAATGAGAGGACGGAGGGAGAAATGGAGGCGACTGTGAAGTGGGCGGTGGAGTGTTTGATCAGGAATTTGACAAACTTGGTCGCGGAGTGATCGATGTTTAATTGGAATAAGGTGGCAGAGACGTTGCGAGGGGAAATAAATGGTATGGAAACTGAAAGGTAGTGTTATAGGAAAGACCCCTTGAAATTTGAAGAGGTCAGATACAAAGTTCATACTCGCTCATATTCCGCCTAGCTCTTAACACGAACCTCAGTTGTTTTAATCAGAACACCTCAAATTATAAACCTTCGCACAATACTTGTTATAAAGAAAACCTAATTTTATATAAATTAATTACTATTTTCTTTACTTTATAGAGCAAATTTGATAATTTAATCAAATGATACCTTCAAATCTTTAAAGTATTGTGATTCAAATTAAGCGAAGTCCCCCCAATGTAGGGACTTAAGCATAAGATTCATATTTAGCGAGAATTTACAAATTAGCTTTTGCGAGGGCAGGAAAGTTGCCTAGTAGCATGAAATAGATACTATTTCTAAACTCATACTTCAATACCTCTCTCTTCGGCTTCCACACGCGGGGTAAGGGCTTTGTAATTCCACGGATGAGGATGAGGATGACCTTCATTTTGGTGGCTCTCGCAGCGTGGAAAATAACCAAAACATGATAGAGGAGAGAATATCCAAGGAATAATTCTAATGTGTCAAGTCATGAGCAGACGATTGAGGGTAATCGAGCTTTCATATCTCTTTGCTATAGTCATGAAACATGTACTTAAACTTTCACGATAATCAATCTCACGGACTTCGGAAGAGGAATTCTCTGAGCCTAATGAAACTCTATCTCAACTTGAGAGATCACTGGTTAAGGAGCTTTTTTATCCGGGGCTGGTGGATGCAGATGTATTAAGCTGCCCTGTCTGCCTTCGCGACAGCGGGTTTCCTCCCAATTTTGAAAAACCATCGGGATTGCCGTTTTCGTCCCGACACATGCTCTGTACACGTGATTGAGAAACAGTTTTGATTTCTGCGATGAGATACCTTCATCTCGTCGTCGTGTTAGCGATGGGGAGGTGTAAGTGAGTATAGTGAAGTTTTCGTGAAGGTTGAGTCATTCGGCACGAGGAAGCTCGGAAAGGGGCTAAAAATGTCCCTGTACGCTGACAAACAGGGCTGCATTAGGGGCTCTATGACGATATTAGAAAACGAGCTACTCAACTCCCCCCTTAAAACGGCTTCACCTCGGCACTCTTTAAGAATCCCCCCAAGAGTTCATAAATACCACAATTCAACCACTTTTTTCTCGTTCCTGTTCAAGCAAATTCCCAAAATTTAGATTTGGCACTTTAGACTTCATTTAGAACACTCTCACCCATCATGCCTCTCACCGTCCGCCTCGCCACAGCAGAAGACGCGGACCAATTAACAGACATCTACTTCGCCGCCTTTCAACACGACGCCATCTCCCTGCTTGTTTTCCCCCGCAATACCCCACATACAAGAGAATGGTGGCACGCCTCAATCCTCGCCGAGATCACCGACCCACACGCACGCTTCCTCTGCATCGTTGACCTTTCCTCGCCAACCCCATCCAAGATCCTCTCGTACTGCAAATGGAACTCGCCCTCCGCCCCAATTGGCCTCGATCTCCCAACCTGGCCAAAAGGAGCCGATATTGAGATCGCGGATCATTTCTTTGGGAATTTGGTCAGGAGTCATGACAGGATTATGAGGGGGAGGAAACATTGGTATCTTGAAGTTGTGGCGACGAGGCCGGAGGAGCAGGGGAAGGGCGCTGCGGGGATGTTACTTAGGTGGGGTATGCAGAGGGCGGATGAGGAGAGGATGGAGGTGTATTTGGAGGCTAGTCCAGAGGGGAAACCGATTTATGAACACTATGGGTTTATGGAGGTGGAGAGATTGATTGTATCACTGGAGGGAAAGGAGGGGGTTGGTGGGGAAAAGGAGTTTGTAGAGTGCTTCATGGTTAGATTGGCGACTGAGAAGAAAAACTGAATTGCATGTTTGGCATAGTCGAAATTTTATCACTTCTAAATACGCCGTCAGGTGCTCCCAGGAACCCAGATGACCCACTTGAGAAGCCAAACACTTTATTATGTCTCTGACAAAAGGAACTTTGTAATATACACATCAGCCATAGTGGCCGAGGCTGATGCATATGGTACAAAACCATCCTTAAAAGGGGTTGAAGACTTCTCAGAGTCTAGGAAACGTCAGGTAGAAGTTTTCAAGGTTTAAAGGAGCACTATGACAAGTTCCAATCCCCCAGCCCAGGACGAAGCTTCAGTCTGAGATTCAATTACCGCTTCTCGACGTCCCAGTGCAATTTAGAGCTTCCAGAACTTCATCTCATCTCTTGATCCGAAAGTTTCAGTCTTTCAGAAATGACAACAAGATTCCAAGTGACAACGACTACGCACAATTACGAAAACGTATGTGCGTAATTTCTCCCAACAGGAGCGCGTGTAAGTTTACAGTGTAAGTCGAACTTGTGAGATGGCAAAACCGTGGCTTGGAGCTGGGGGGGCCTTGGGTTGGGCAAGCACAGAATTTTTTGTACAGCTTGGAGGATGTTGAATTTCGGTGGCTGTCAACCTTCCACCCGGAGGCATGTTTTATACCGGCCTTGATCTCCTAAAACCGCAGAAGGGAATGTGTGCTAAGCCCAGCACCAAGGTGAAATGCGTTCACTGAATTACTGTCGTGTTCTATTCAATCAAATCACCTTTCACTACCACTAAAACGAATAACAACCACGCATATTTGCATCCAGTTAAGAAAGTTGCTTGTTACTCTACCCCCTCTAACTAGCTGCACTCAACTTCCTCAAATACATTTCCATACCCGTCCGCTCCTTTTCGAAATTTCTCATACACTTTTCAAAGCGGCTACAAGAGCTATAGCTGCGCTGCTGCGCATACATAGGCATGCTCGCGAAGAACCAACTTCGTTGAGACGTAGAAAAGAAGCCAAAACCCAACCACAGGGTGGAGAGTATTTCTATACGCGCAAATAAAACAAAATGAACCTTTCAAGCGGTGCATTATGGTCTTGAAACCTAAACCCGACTTTGAGACTTGCGCGATAGATCTGTACTTTATTGTGGCACTAGGGCTCATTTGACCCATCTTCCCAACTCTTTTCTTAGAATTAACAACCACTCTCCACATGACAGCAAGGAGCCAGCCGCCGGCTCTCTTCCAGAGCCTAGTAATCTCCACCTCATGGCCACTTCCAAGCTATTTCCAGGCTAGCTCGAGCCACCTCATAACGCCACAACTCAGCGAACAGAAGTAATCGATACATCCCTACTAGAACCTTTTCGGGAAAATCTCCTGTTCCTTTGCTCGTTCTGGTGATATTTTCCTTTATCGGGTCTCAATGGGCGAATTTTTATCGATTTAACACACCATTCTTAATCGAAACAGAGTGAATCCCAATAATAAATAGGGTGTACCAAGGAGGAGGCAATGACTGTGCCAGACACATATAAACCCCTATAGCTGCTGAAAAGATATGACTGCCATTCAGGTAACCCACAATCACCCTGCGAGCAATGCTCAATGCAGATAAAGAGTACCGATCTACTCTTGAGCTTCAGAAGCACGGTCAGCACTACGAACCTGAGAACAAGAAGTGCCGGGAATGGCCCTGGAATCCAATCTTAATTCTGAAGAGAGATGGAAGGTCAAAGCTACTCCTCCGACTTCATCTGAATCGTCTTCCCAACTCTTCTCTTGAAATTGACGACAGAAGAGAAAGTGAAATTAAATCGACTTAAGCTCTGCAATAGAGAGAGGTCTAACCGCGAACGCGACCGAGACAAAACAGGGGAAGTGTATTGGTGGGCAGCATATTGGTAGCCATGTGAGGAGGAATCACTAATCCACAGAGTGCGCTGAACTCAAGTTTCAGTGGTTTTCCGAGACGTAAATAAGAGTCTCCCTGCCTGACTCAGGAAGCTGTACACGTGGAGCGAATTCAATTCTTGAAAGAAAACTCCTCGAGTGGTGTGAGAAACCTTACTCACCACTACCGTACAGGTTCTATGACCCAAACAAGCGATCCCAACTTCGAGATAAAATGGGGGCCTCCTACCATCTTCTAAACCAAATGGAAATCTTCATCCCCACTTGATTCAAGGAAAAATGACAGAAAAATTCTAAGGCGACAACAATAGAAAACATGAGAACACACCTACCAACCACATTCGAGACTCCTCGGACTCGGTGACAGAATACATGAAAATGTTCGGAGCCACTTGGCTCAGAAGAGTGTCATAGTTCGCGGCCCCGTGGCATCAAATGCCCACCACGATGTTCGGATGAGTGTTTGACTGTTATGACCCTAATTTTCAGGTAGTGGTTTGGAAGGGTGTCCGAGCCCGAAGAATGAACGCGGTGGCTCAATCATGCAAATCTGTTTCATTCTCATTTCTTCCTCACTTTTCATCATACTTCCATGTCATCACAGCAAACTCAGCCAATAATCTTCTCAGCAAAGCCAAGCATACCCATAGCAAGCCTAAGAACAGCTCCCAAAAGCACTCTGGCATCCATTTGCAGCCAAACAATAGTCGTTAGACGAGCCACACCATCCATGACTGGAGCAGCAATTGCCAAAAGAGCTGCTTTGACACGTCTTGCCATTTCCGCAGCTGCCATCTCCACTAATGGAGATATCTTCTGCAGTGCAAGTGCCGAAAGCAGTCTGACAGCCATTGTTGACAGAACAGTATGCGGAGGACGATCCACACCACCCTTGCTCCGAACAGCAGTTGCCGAAAGTCGACTCCATGCAAGATGTCGAATGGGAGGCACCGCAGGATCCTTTCGTGCTGGTGGTGATCGAATTGTCTCCGCTGGAAATTTCCCGATTAGCACGCACTAAACAGGATTTGATGGAGAGGCCCTCACCTGCCAGCACCGGAGTAAAAATCGATACTCCACACGGCTGTCCCACCCAGGCAATGCTGGTCTCCCCATTTCATCTTCATTGCAATCGTATCGTGATCATCATACCCGACCCACTGGTTGTCCCACGTAATCTGCTTGACCATCGCATTGGTAATCAGTTTCGGGGTCAATTTCTTCGCTTTGATAACCTGCTTGATTTCCCTTAGAGACAAGACACCGGGGCTCTCGGTGCAAGGACCCGGCAGACTGGTGCCAGAGTATGGGCATCCGACATCAGTGCAGGAGCTGTTACTCAGAGTGTATCCTCGTCCATAGTATGGGACGCCGAGATTTATCTTCGATGCATTCAATCCGTCAAACCACACCGGTAGGAGGTCATTCTCGATATCAATGATGCTGCTTTGAGGCCGAACAAAAGCGCCCAGATCCGAAGCTTCCCATGGCCCATGTAAATCATATGCCATGAAGTTGAAGAAATCAACATAACATTCCATAGACATAGGGTCGAAGCCCTCAAGATAATAAAAGTCAGGCGGACTGGAATCAGTTGGTGCAATATCTGGTTTAAAAAAGGGGTCGTCTCACAGCGTAACACTGATACCAAACTTCGTACCAAATGCTGTTCGCATATCGGCGACCAGATATACGAGATTTTGGGTATCTTCGGGTCTGCCACCTCGATCAGGAATTGCAGGATATTCCCAATCAATGTCAACACCTTGGAAACCCCATTCTGTCATGAAGCCAATGAGAGAAGAAATAAACGCCGCTCTGTTCGCCGAGGTGGAGATCACGTCGGACCAGGTCGTGTGGGTTGGGCCAGGACTACTGAAATCGAATCCACCAATTGCAATCCAAGTTTGCATAACAGCAGATCTCAGTGCAGTAAATTGAGAGTATAGGGCGAGATCTCCAGGATCTGTAGGGACGATATTGAAGTTCGTAGGGTCAATCGAAGCGAATGCAAAATTGAGATGTGTGAGGCCATCGGTGTCAATCTTGGAGGGAGTGACTCGGTTGCAGGTTCGATATCGGACGTTGCTACAGAATGTTAGAGACGCTATGTCAATGCATCTGCCAGGACACCTTACCCAGATTGCCAATATGCAACCTTTCGACCTTTGGTGGTTGTGTGTTTGGAAGCGCTGCAGGAAGGAGGAGAAACAACTTGGCAGTCACCATAACCCTGCTGGCACGGCATGGTCAAGTGTGTAGGATCGGAGTTGACACAGTGAAGTTCAGTAGTCTGGACTGCGGTTAGCTCCATTCTGCAAGACAAGAGGGGATGTTAACATACGCCACAATAACCAAGGAACGAGCAGCATATGTTGAGGGGACATTTCAGGGTGCCATTGAGCGAGTCCACACCACACATAGCCGTTGCATCGCAGTTAGAAATGCAGGTAGTTGTACTCGAGTTCAGGCAATTGTATGGCGTGAATCCACATTTTCCTTCCTATCGTCCATTGTCAGCATATTGCCTCCGCATCGGAGGTGATGTACTGACTGAATTGCAGCAGCTCCCATCCACACAAGGCACACCAGGACTGCACTGCACAACCGCGTCTCTTACTTGAAGCGAGGTAACCTTTGGGGATGTTTCCCGGAGAACAATGCCAACAATGGAATCATTCTCGGCCTTGGTCGCGTTTGCGCCCATTTGGCCCATCATGTGCTCCAATCCGACTTCGAGAATCGGAAATGGAGGGGCAACATCAAGGTTCTGGTGCAGGACGGCCTTGTGCACGCTTTGCGTAATGTTAACCACGAGCGATGGGAGGAACAGGTTGGCGTGGCTGCTGGTGGTGATGAGGAGGAGGATGATGACTGTTCGAATTGATGAATGAGTGAAGGAGGAAAACATTATGGACATTGATGGACATAGGTATTCGGCGATTGTGATATCGAGGAGAGGGATGAGGAAGAGAGAGAAGAAGAGATGATTGATTGAGGAGGAAACGATTTCATCGTGGTATTTTCGCTTCCCGATTGGGAAGGAACTCCTGGGCAGGTCATGATCTGGGCCATCGATCAGACGGGGTCCCCGAGGAACAAGAAATGCCATCTCGGTCCTTGCACTGAAGATCAGCACTCTCGAGTTAAAAGGAACGTTGAATTGCGAGGAAACAGATGGGATTTGAGGTACGCAGCCTGCGAAGAATCGTTCTGGTGCTGCACCGTGTTTACGTCCCAGTGACACCAATCTCCGCGGACCCGAGACAACTCAGTTTTGGAAATCTGGGGAACGGGTACGGCCAACGCTCCCGCAAGAGACAATTCTCGAGAGCCTGCATGATCGTTTGATCATGCGGAGTTCAGACGGTGCCACATATCACCAAGGTTTCTGTGCACGCACACAGATGCAGTTCTCCGTCCATACGCTTGTATTTAGATGGCTGCAAAGAAGTACAGAAGATCTTTACATACGTACACTTTTCGATATGTTGATCACTACAGCCTCGATTTCTCCGCAATCATCGACGCTGAGCTCGGGAGACTCTCGATGCTGTCCCTCGTGATCTGGTCCACGCTCTGGAAGCCTGCAACGTTCATGAGGATATCGAAATCCGCCAGCAGACTCTTCATCACATGTCTGACACCAAGTTCCCCCTTGATGCTCAAACCCCAAACCCAGAGTCTGCCTACAAAGACAAACTTCGCGCCGAGTGCCAACGCCTTGAAGACATCAGCAGCTCCACGAACACCGGAGTCGAACATGATGTAGGTCTTGTCCCCGACAGCTGCATTCCATTAGCTTCGGCACCGAGAGTGGCTTCTAAGCACAACTCACCATCAACAATCTTCTCCAATGCGTCCAAGCTCGCGATAGCTCCATCAACCTGCCGTCCAGCATGATTACTAACAACAATCCCATCAACCCCCAACTCCACCGCCTTCCTCGCATCCGCTACATTCTGTATCCCCTTCAAACAAAACGGTTTGCTCCCACTAATCTTCCTCCACTGCGCCATCAACCATGGCATCTTCTCCCAGTTCCACGCTCTTCCATGCCAAACGTTATCAATCCACATCGCACCCGCCTCATTCGGCTGCTTCTTTGGATCAATCCCCTTCTCCTTCATCCGCTTCTGGAATACCGGATCCGACAGCCCAAGATCCGCACCAATGCCATGATAAAACGCATAATTGCTTTCCGCCTCATCATGATGCCTCCACGCCAGCTGCCACGTATCAAGCGTCAGTATACACACCGAGAATCCGCTCTTATGTGCCCTTGTCAAAAGCGAAATCGTAAGCTCGTCATCGTGCGGCATATAAAGCTGGAAGAATCGCGGCCCGGCTCCGTTCGCCGCGCCGACATCTTCGATCGGATTTGAGCCTGCGGTGGACAAGCAGTAGGGTAGATTCAGTTCTTTGGCGACTTTCGCGACGGGTAGTTCGCCGAGAGGATTATAGATCTTGTTGATGCCAATAGGCGCAAAGCCAATCGGGGCGCCGACTTTGTGCCCGAAGATCGTAGTTTTTGTGTCCCTAGTGTTTGTGTCGACGAGCATGCGCGGGATGATTCGGTGGCGGTAGAAGGCCTGTCGGTTTGCGAGGTGGGTGTAGGATTGTCCTGCGTTCGAGGAGGCGTAGTGCCTGCAAAGTTGTTAGAGGAGTTGACTGGGAGGGGCTCAAGTCGTACCATCCTCCAATTGTCAGGCTCCTCTTGGCGAGGTCCTCGAGGTCTCCTGGCTCGGTACTAAATGGAGGGACTTCTCCCGTGTTATCTTTCCAGAGCAGCTCTCTCTGGTAGAGCGCCCATTGGGGCGTGTTTCTGCTCTGGATGTTGGGGTTCTTGGGGTCGGACATGATGATTCAGCAGAATTGAAGACTGAAATACTAAAAAAAAAGATCGAGATCTATACCAATTGATACAAGAGAGAAGAGAAGGGAACAATTCTCTATACTTATGCAGTCCATTGTGTTGTATGATCTCATCGTCGGCAGCGAAGTTCGGAGAGAGCTCGAAGTGACGTTGTCCAAAAATCGAGAGAATCGAGACGTTGCAGTAAGGTTATTGCCGAAGGCCGGTTTTCTCGAGATCACGTGCTGGAACCCCTGAAATAGGGGGAAATTACTAACTCTACCGAGTCATTTGGTACGAAGGGAGAATATTTCTAGTCACTCTCAATAACGAAGTCTCTTCACATTCCTTCTATAATGTGAACAGCAGTGCAGCATACTTGCTGATCTACGAAGTATCTCGCTCCTTCCCACCCTTGATTTCAGTCTCTCACACCACCTCCTATTGCCTTGGAAATCCAAATCATGCCCCTAACTAGACGAAGAAAGCCGCAAGTACCTCCAAAGGGTCCAAATTATTCACCCAGAAAGTCCCTTGCTCTGCATGCTCCTACTAAGTGATTCTGACAATGTAGGCAGCGTAAGGGTCAAGCCAAACCTCAAGGCCCGCCTCCTATTTGAAAATAATCTCAGATATCTGCTCTGTGGACAAATTTTGCAATCTGCTGAGGATAATCCCTCGAAAAGCAAGCTCTCGCTCATCTTCCAAGCAATACCTATCACAGACATAGCGATCTTGTCTCTAGTTTCCCCGCCCAACAACGGGACCGAGACTCCCAGCTTCTCCAGCCCCGCAAGGGTCACAATAACAATCTGCTTGCCCAACTTCACAGTTTCCGATGCGTTGCAGGCCGTGTAATAGCGAAGACCCTCTGGTCAGGATTTGCGGCATGTCGCTAGGATCGCTGGGTTCTTGGTGCGCTTACGTTGAGAAACAACGTAGTTTGCGTGGAAGAAGCGTATGGCTCTTAATGTGGAAGCGGCGTGGGCCCATATTTGGTTTCTGAGCTCGCGGGGGAGTGTTCGGAAGAGGGTGAAGTTGTGCCCCAGCTCGTCCTTCATGGCGAGAGTCGAGATATCAAGTCGTGGGAGACAGGGTACGGAGATCGCGGCATAAAGTGACGGGATTATAGGGCCTTTGTACTGAAACTCCACTGTAGCACTCGTTTCTAGCGAGCTTAGCCGCTAAAAGTCCTTGTATTTCTAGGCTACTGCCCTGAAAACAAGCCATAAGCCTCTGACAAGGGGTGCCACACCTTTCAAGGGTTTACCCCTGTATTTACAAGGGCTTACTCGCTAATTAGCCCTATAAGAGTTGCCCTTTTAGTGTCCGAGCGCTATAGTTGCTCTGCCAGCAGCGCTAATACCCTTGAAGATCTTCGTAACCTTGCAAATGTCTCATAGTGTGTTTCTAGGGCACATAGCCTGGAGATATAGGGCCTTATAGCGTGCGCAGCACCTGCATTGAACTCTACAGTGGGCTCAGTGTCGAAATGCCCTATAATCCCGTCACTTTATGCCGCGATCTCCGTAGAAGGCTGCGTAACAAAAAATCACATCGCGGCAGCGACTTTCAAAGAAATGCAATCCCTTTGTCCACATCACCATCACAAGTGGCATTAGATAATTGGTCCCTGAACCACATCCCTTCAACTGCGAATAAAGAAACCTCTCGGGATATTGCATGCAAACTTCCCACCTTCAACCGGTTTTCTCTCTCCCAATTTCCCATCACTCAAAACGTTTTAAGTGTTTTGCTCCCTCTTTTGCCATCGACAAACTCATCGGGTTCACACTGCCACACATCCAAACAGCTGACAACGTCCACGTCTAGCTTCTCAAGGTTATTAACTCGCAAATGGAGGAGAACGGAACTTGGGGAATTACTTGTCTCTTGTGCGGAACCTTCAACAGCTTCCTCGAAGGAACAGATAATGGAACCGGAGCTTGTATTTTCCCAGGCTCTGATCTAAGGAATTTGATGAAGACGGCCGGCTACAGCGGGAACGGATTCGAGAATGACTTTCCTAAATAGGGGGACTCAGAGAACGAGGAGTCTAAGCAAAACTATTCACAATAGAAGATAACATGCATTTTCTAGAAATCGGGTTTTTTTAGTGACATTATGATTGCATTAACTCTACTTGCGGTATCTATCTAAACCATCTACCCTCCTCCCTTCAAACGCCCTCATAAAGACCATCCTCTCAATGTAACGACAGTAAAGAACCCTCCCCCTCCTCCCCCTGTCTACCACGAGAAAGTCATCAACCCCGGATTCAGCGCCACCGGCAACATCAAATGACACCCACACAGCATAGCTAGCGGAAAGATTGCCACAAACTGATCAATATTCCAACTCCACGGGATGAACCCCGCTTTCGCCATAATCACCATCGCGGCAATCGTCAAAAAGCTCAGCGAAATGGTGTACTTGAAGGTCTTCGCGACCTTTGGGATCTCGATGAAGAAGTTGGAGAACTCGACTTCCTTGGCCGTGGCGCCCCACGACATGTCGATGCTGAACATGTGGCAGAGGAGCGCTTGGGAAATGTGAAGGGACATGCCGCCGAAGAAGACGACGAACATAAGGCACCATTTGAAGTTTTCGATCACTGTATCAAGATGGTTAGTTTGGTGGCGTAAAAAAGGTGATAGGGAAACGTACGGGAATAGACGAAGTTCTTCTCGCTCGTCCTGTGTCGTTGGATTGCCAGCGAGACATTGCCGGCAACGGTGAAGACCATAATGATACTTATCCATATCTGCCAACTCTCCACATACCACTTGTCGAGGAAGCCGTTATACAGCCCAACGGCAATGTAATTCGACAGCGTCATGATCCAGGCTGCTCCGATTGCATAGTACGTCCCGATATACGAGATGATGTTGATCTTACTCCCAATTGGCATCCCCGAGACCAGGAACCGTCGAAACAGAGGAGTGATTGGACCTTTCGTCAGCCAGTACTTGACAGGATGAAACACGAGTTCGTTGCACCCATAAGCGTATTTCTCCCATCTCGTAAGCTCGTCGTAAACCGTGAGAGACACTCCTTCTTTGAACCCATCACCGGCCCAAGCCGCCATCCGTACGACATAGCCCCAGACCTGGAGTCGTAGCGCCATGTCGAAATCTTCGGATACGTGAGACTCGCTCCAGTATTTCTCAACGCCATCTTCCTTGAACGAGACTTCTTGGATCGCACTCCAGCGTAAAATCGCATTGTGGCCGACGAAAGGCGCCACATCGCCGGACGCAACACCGAAACGGATAGCGGTGTAAATCAAGTTCGTGAAGAAGGTAATCCCGTTCTCGAAGTAATTGTGCGCTACTTGCATCACACCGCTGCTGAACTGGATGATCGCCACTCTTGGGGAAAGCTCCATCTCCGACGCCGCATCGAGGAGACAGTCTTCGGGAACACGGGTATCGGAGTCAATAATGAGAATGTAGTCACCGATCCGAATGTTCCCGTCAGCCCACGCACGACCGTCTTTCGCGAGAACAGCTTTGAGGCATCGTTCGTAAGCGTATCCTTCATCTGCTTGCGTCCAGTCGGCAGGACGATCGACCAGCTGCAGTGCCTCTTCGACCTCATTCGAGATCCTCATACCGTAGTTCATGTTGGAAGCTTTCTTGAACTTTCCTTTGCGCTGGAAACCATCGACGTTGTGTCCTGGACGAGCGGTCCAGCCGATGTTATGGTCGGCGTAGAACTCGGTGCGTGCTTGGCGGTCCTCAGCGGAGATAAGTTGCAGGCCGTCGTCGTTGATGAAGATGTTTGCTGTGCCGCCTTGCAGCTCGTAGGTGGAGATGGCCTTTTTGATCGACCGGACTGTGGGTGCGATCACGGAGTCAAGTCCTTCTTTGTAGACGGGGCATTGAATGGTGATGTGTGGGGGATTGTCGGCCGAGAGCCGGGGCGGCGGGACAGCGGAGAAGTATTTTGAGTTTTTGGTGAGGTGTTGGATGGGGCCGATGATTTGGGCAATGGCGGAGATGATGACTGAGGAGAAGAACTGATGTTTCATAAGCAACGGTACATTTCGAGAATGAGTTCTGACTTACCAACGTGAGGAATGCATTGACGGGCGTCATGATTATGAAGACCAGAGATGTCCACTTGTGCAGTTCCGCAAGCTCGTCTGCAATCTTTACATAACCCAGACCGATCAAAACTGTCAACAGGCACAAACTGCACGCAACCAAGAAGCAGTTGTACAATAATATCGGGCGATCCTTGCTCCCCATCAAACCAGTTTCCTCATCAAGCTCAAATTCAGATGAATTTGAGCCAGGGACACCTTTTTCTGTTTGATCGTCATTATCATTTGCAGCCTTCCAGACGAAGTCCAACAATCCAGCTTCAATGGTTCTTGCTCGTTGCAGTAGGTGAGTAGGTTCATCATCCCACACTACTAGAAGAGCCTCTGCGGCAATGAAAGCTGCATATTGATGGCGTCTGGCTCGATACAAATCTTCGAACGTTGGAACGATTTGGATGCGAAGTCCGTTGAGTAAAGGTACATCGGCGGCATCAAGGTTCCAGTTTAGGAAGGGTTCAATGACACCAGATGATACGGTCATTGCTGCCTTTGAGGTTTCATAGTGTTAGTGGCTTGTTTTGATGTTGTGGGGAAAGGCGTTGCGTGGCTGAGATATTGACGCCGAAAAGAAAGTGGTTCTTACTTGAACGTTCAACGCCGTCATTGCTCTCGCAAAAGCCGAAGTTTCCAGCGCTTGAGGTTTGAATAGGTAGTCGTTCTTTTTCCTCCTTACCATAGCTCCTTCAATGTTATCATTATAATCGCGGATCCAGAGAGAGCTACATTGGTGTTGGTAGAGATGGTTGAGGACGACTTGATGCTTGATGTCGTCCACCAGACGTTCTTCTTCTGCGGCTCGACTTGAAGGCCTTGAATGTGTGGAAGGTGATGGGGAAAGTGACGCTGCATCTGAATCTATCGGTGCGAGCCTACCGGGAAGTGCTCCATGGAATTTCTCAGTCTCGACCATAGCATGTGAGGCTGGGGCAGGGACAGTGGTTTGAAAATAGTTCTTGAACCCCATCTTTGCGGTAATAGTGAGTGGTGCATGTAATGAATACAATAAACAAACTTTTGAAAAGAATATAAGTGACCAAAGGTCAAAATGAGTGTGTGCTGGAGTTCAGCGTGTAAACGAATGTGGTGATGTGAAGTCACAGTTCAGTCATGATGGATGAAGGTACAAGTGAAGCTTGAACGATGGATGATGGAGTGAAAGCGCTCAGCCTCAGATAACTTCCCACTTGCTCACGCCGCATGAATGCCATGGGGTTCGATATCGCGGTCACTGACCGAGTGAGCCCTGCGCTTGTTCCTCACGGCTTCAAATTACGCGTGCCCCCCTGGATCCTCCTCTTTGTTCTCGCGATATGTGGCTTATCGGAAAGTAGACCTGCAGGCAGTGTCAACGGTCAAAACGGCCAAAACAAGAATCAATACAGGACTGGTGCAAACACAAGCATCCGATGTCTGAAATGGGGAGGATGGCTTGAGGCTTGGGAGACCCAGGGGCAACCATGAAGAGGTGTGCATAGATGGAGGATAACTTCACCCTGACATCCATGCAAAGTTTGATTGTGTCCCAAGTAGGGATGGTACTTTACATTACAGCCCCAGCACGTTACGTAAAGTGTGTAATTACAGCCCCTAAGTACTTTACACGCTACATTACAGTCATGTGACGCACTAGCCCGATACGGAACACACTATACCTAATTCGGAAGCGGTATGCTCCGGCAGTAAGTTTGAATCTTCGCAGCTAAGAAACTCTCCATTATTAACACTCTCACTACCAGGGAATCAATCGCCATTTAACAAGCTAATATGCTAGCTAATAATTAGCAGAGCGTTCGAAAGAAGGTAGAGATCCATGAAGCCTTCGATAAAATTCCAGCTAGTCGAAACGGAATAGTCTCTGACTATATCCATTACCGATTCTGCAAAAATGAGAAGAAGCTATTTAAGCGGATATAGAATACTACTATAATGGGCGAGCATCTCAAGTAATGCGAGCGATATTAACGATTTTTAGTTAATCAGGATTAAGCAGAGAGAACTGGAATAGCAGGGCCATTAATACCAAGGGGATTACTTTAGATAAAGCTCGCATTTTCCTCTTAACCAGGTAAGGGAAGACAAGATACGCTAAATGCCCTCTTTAGAATGGCTATATTTACTTCTTATATAGCCTTTTCAATATTTAATATACCTGAATAGGGAGCTTTTTTTACTATAGTAGGCTTTAAAGTACCTGAATAATATATGATTACGAATATGATTCTTGATTAGTACTATACCAAAGTTAAGAATAATGTCTTAAATATCTTTAATTCCTCTCTATTTCTCAGTATAGTTTCTAATAAATCTATAAATATTAAAGGATATTAAATCGAGAATGTTTCCGTTATTTGCAAAGGCATATTATATAATTAGAGTAACGAGAGCTTAGAAGATAAGAGCACTTTAGCGGAAAATATAGTTCTGGGTTATAAGAAGAAAGCCCTTGAATTTATACGGGGAGATCTTAATTAATTATCTGCTTTCTATTTAGATACGTACCCTATAATATAAAGAACTTAGAAGTAATTTACTAAGCTTTTAGAGCTAGCTTATATATTTAATATTAAATGCGATTCTCATAGCTAATAGCTTATTATTAGAGATATAATTAATCCTGGAGTAATTAAGGAAGTCAAGATTATATTAGAAATTCATGACTTCTGGCTTAATTTTTAGTTAATTATTACTTAGTTTAGTAAGAAGAAGACCTTATAACTTAGTATCTTATATCAAAAGTAGCTTAATAGTATTAGTAAAGAGATTGCTTTACTGCCAGTAGTAAAAATATAATAAGGCACTCAAGTAAGCTTCCTAATTCAAGTAATTTTTACCTCTAATATTGCTTTCTAGTACTATTCTATTAAATCCATCTTAAAAAACAAATCCTACCTAAAAGCATACGCAAAAAACCCTCGAATTAATATACCTTCGAAATTCCTATAGCTCGTAATAAGTAAGGACTTTTGGTATAAGTTATAAGAGATAAAGAGGCTACTAGAGCCTATATATAATTAGTAAAAGGTATTAGAATCAATTTATATGAACCTCTATTATATATACTAATAATAGATTGATTTATATACATATCTTCTATAATTTAGTAATCCTATAAAGTTTGCTTTTACAGAGAATATAAGGGCATATTTAGAGCGAATTAGGAAGTATGGCTTTGAGTTTAGGCTTAAAAGGCAGGTTTAGGACGTTTACCTTTTGGTATATATCCTTAATTCAAGTAACTAGTACTAATAGAGCTAATTTAGTAAAACTAACCAAGAGCGGGTTATAAATTATATATTCTCTTATGGTAGAGCGGACGTTTTAATTACTTTTTTTGAGTATATATTAATGGAACTAGGCTTCTATTTAATAAAGGGATATTAGGTATATATAAATAATTCTAAACTCTTTTGGAATCTCGCTATAAGTATATTCTAATATTCTCGATTTTTACTAATATTCTATAGGTATCTAGAAACAAAGTACTTGTATAGCTAGTTCTTTGAATTATTAATACTACTGCGAATTTAGTAGTATCCGAATAAGCCTTCTCAGTTATAAATATCCTCTATACGAAATCACGAAATCGTCTTTCTCTCCCTAAGCTTAATAAGCTTATCTTTATTTACGTTAACTCTTAATCTTTATATACTAATTGCGATAATATATATATAAATGGGAAGGTAAAGGTAAAAGCAAAGTAACCAGAGAGAATTAAGGTAAACGATCCACTTAATCCGGATACTATTAAGATACAGAGGCTTGATTTGAAAGACGATTTTGCAATGCTTCGAATAATATTTCCGGAAGACTTTAAAATAGACGAATTTATATTAATTAAACCAATTATAGAGAAGCGGAGGCGGGCTAATACTATAATTAAAGCTATTCCAGAGGTTCAGGGTATGCTTTAGGGCTTATAGGAGTTTCAAGGGAATATTAGTACCGATTTTCAGGGCATTCAGGACCTGGAGTTTCAGGCGTTTGGGAACGACTATTAGGACCACGTGTCCTGAATTATACTCTTCTTTATATACGAATTATACCCTATTTATGCCTACTTTACACGAGATTTACTATGTTTTGTAACGTAAAGTACGACTACTTTACGTAAAGTATGTAAAGTGTAAAGTTTACCATCCCTAGTCCCAAGCGTTGCAAACGAGGACCCTGACCCCTGAAATGCAACTCTGTGATAAATATTGACAACAAAAGGGCAAGGCGGCCGCATGCTCCGACCTGGCCAGGCCTTCAAGACCCGCTTACGAAGCAAAAATAGGACTTTTTATGCCCGCAGAGATCAGATGAAAACCGAATCCAGGAACCGTTGGCGGACATTACAGGGGATCATCGCCAGGTCCCTTGTCAGTGCCAGATCTCTGGGTTGGTCGAAGCCTGGGCCACGCATGGAAAACGTTGCTGCATCCCGCAGGCACGGCCTCGCGGACCAGAGGGGGGTTCCAAAAACAGCGAGGGAAACAGGAAGCGAGGTCTTTCCTGGGGCTTGAGCTGCTGGAAAGTGAATGCGTCTGATGGATCTGTAATCAGGTCACGAAGCGGTAAAGAGGACGAATGGGAAGAAGGTGATGAAGTGGTGAAGTTAGCCACAACACCTCAACACCAACTCACGCACCAAACATCACACAAGCTCCCTTGGAGCTTTGAGAACCACTGAGCCTCCGATTCCCCCATCTTCCACAACGCGACCGAGTTCTGTTGAAGCTATCGTGAAGAATCGTTGATCTGAAGTTAATTCAAGCTCAGGGAAGAACCCACTGAAGACCCATAAACGATCAGCAAACTCCCCCACCTTTCACCTGTCAGAACCCTCCTGGCCCCACTTAGGCCCCTATTCCCCTCTACTTGGTACTCCGCGAGGTCCGCAGTCCGATTCCGCCCCCTGTGAGCCCTGTGAGCCCTACGAGCCCTGCACACCTGCACTGCGAGCAGATCAAAACCCCTCACCGGGTTCCCTTGACGCTCCATTAAGCACTGCACTAATTCTTGGCCCATGTCCTATGAGGTTAAACAAACGACATGGCGTTTTTGCGGCTTGGGGGCAATTTCTTTTCTCCTCCTCACAAAGCTCAGCTGAACGGTGCAACGCCCAAACTGCTACCCCGCATTCGGAAGGATCGCATGACTCTTACCAGTTTGGGGTGGGCTCTGTTTGGACGGGAGGGCGTGGACGGGAGAGCGCCAACATAATGCCTGCTTTTGGGTGGCGGGTATGCGATGATTCGGAGATTTTTCAGGTGTCCAAGCAACATTGGGGGCGGCACAGCGAGGAGGAGATGGTTCAGAGGGGGAGACAAGAAACGGGTTGTCTTTCCTTATGGGTGAGTCAGAGGGGATGTTTGGGCGGACCCAAGCTTTTCCAAATGGTTTGGGAAAAAGAAATAATTAACGCAGAGGCGTCGAAGATTCCAAGATCTGGGACGAGATTTATACACTTTGTGAATCGCGGGATGAAGCGAGGCAGACTCTATCAGGATTGAGAGATCAATGGCGCCTCGAAAGGCCCAAAGCGGCAATCAAACGGCAAAAGCGGAACTCGGGAGGACCATGAGAAAGAATGACAGCACCCTGAAGATTTTCTTAAGATCGTAAATTAATTGTATTGAACAACGGGAAATCTATCCAGTCATGACCGTCCGAATTCTAATCCCCCATCCCAATCCGGACACTCTCAACACTTCTGCCACATCTTCACCGAATCAACAATCATCTGCCCGTTCTTCTCCCAGGTGGGATACCACCTATCCCGCGCATTCCAGAAATCGTTCCTGGCGGTCGCACTCGCATCAATCCACGGCTTGCCATCCGCCCCATCCAGAAACCACCCATTCTGCCCGCCAACCGCAACATTGATAATCAAATAAAAATCTTGATCAAACGGGGTCTGCGGTCTACCCGTTTGGCTCCAAGGATCAACAAGTCTCGTTCCGTTTTCCGTTGCAAATGGAAAGCCGCCTTGGGGCCAAAACGGCTTGGAGAAAGTGTTGTACATGACTTGCAACAACCTCGAATCAATATAAGTAAAAAGATATTTCTCAGTCCACTCAAGACCGAAAGTGTGGAACCCATCACCATACTCCGAATGCAGCGCATTCTTGAAATTGTGGGTGCGGAGATACGCATCATTCGTAGGATCTGGGCCCCAATGTAAGGCCGAAGAGACCATATTGTTTCCGCCGAGGTTGTAAGTGTGGTTATTGCCTCGCGACTCCATGATGTCGATCTCGCCGCTTGCGGGCCAGGCGCCGTAGACGGAGTCCACGGGCATCAACCAGATCGCTGGCCAGAGCCAGTCGCCTTTGGGGATCTTAGCCTTCACTTCCACTCGTCCGTATTTGATTGTTGCGCCCATTCTGGTGTTGATGCGGGCTGACTTGACGGGTGGGATGATGGTGCCGTTGGTGGTGTTGGTTGAGGCAACGCAGTTGGACCAGAGATCTGATGTGCACAGTCCACTGGCAGTGAGATTGATGATATTGTTGGTTGTGATGAGCGTCTCGTCTTGAAGCGTTGGCTTGATATAAAGCTGTCCGTCCTTGATGAAAAGATTTTCTGGATCTCCTGTGGTCTGCTCAAACTGTAGGTTCCTTTAAAAGGAAAAGGTGTCAGCAGATATTTCGAGATTGAATATCATGTGTGATCGTACCCATAACCTCCAACCTCATTCTCCGTCTGCCAGATATTCGGATTCAACTGTCCAGAAGAGAAATTGTCGTCCAGGATAGGACAGTATTGAAACGATGATAGTCTTCCAACCTTCAGATAAATCAAAATTCCCGTGATAGCCAGTCCAACTAGCACGCCGGTGAGTGGTATGATCCACAAGAATTTCTCCTTAGGATCCTTCTTGAACTTTGGTGGTTCTTGTCCTTCCACTTTCTTGATTCTTCGCGACCTGAAATATTTCCCGCCACCTGGTTCAGAATACTGATATCCGGATGCCCCGCCCCATATTGAAGGTGTTGGTGTTGAGAATGGATTTGGTGTTCCGGGTCCTCTTGGTGTACCTGGTGTTCTTGGAGTGCCTGGGAGTGATGATGATGGTGGTGGATGTGGGGATCTATTGGTATTGGTGTTGGTGCTAAAGGTGGAATTTGATCTCGAGTGATCCGCTACAGCGAATTTGTGCATGTTGGGAGTAGGGGGAGGGAATCCAGAAAGTGGAAGACTACACCAAAAGGGCTTCGGGATAAAGAGTTCTGCTACCACATCGAGGGTTGGTGTTGAGGGTAGGAATTCATGAAGCTATCTTCGCTCAACAAAGATGAGCATATGGTACATTACAAAGGCCGAATGCAAAAGATAAGAAACAAGTACATGCAGAGGCAGAAAATCAGCGTCGAGGATGGCCAAGGCCTGGATACTATCCCGGTACTCGATATTCGTCCCCTCAGGGAGTCGTGATAAGGACCGAGCCTTGCCAAGGCATTCGTCGCACTTCATAACAAATATCCGCTGAAACCCTCAGTAAGTCCGATCGCGGTTGTGCTGAACGTGTTTTGGCCCATGAATGGTGGCGCTTGCCACCCATGGTGACTGGTGTTGAGTTTTTGAAGGAACAAACTCGTGGCGTTGATTTTGGGTTCCCCTGCAGCCCTGCAACACTAACGATCTCGCCAAACTAGCCTATAATTCAGGGGTACTCGTGTTTGATCCCAACCTCGCTGAAAATAACCTCTCTTCTGAGCAAACTTTATGCAATCCACCACATCAAGTGATGTTCATTCAACGGATAATGCAGCCCAGCGGCAACAATTGTTAACCGAGGTCGAGGCGTTTTCTTGCGATCAAGGTTGCCCGGACCAAGCTTGTACCTGCTTTGAGCCCGAAACGGCACACGTTCACCGGGAACCTTTTTCATTGGGACAAGCCACACGATTACCCTCGAGGTGGCTCGAGCATGGCTCTGTTATGGTTGGTGTTTCCTTCTAAGGACACCCTCATCATTGTTAAGGGGGCTCTCGCGCCGACGTCCACAGCCACAAAAGCCCCTCATCCGAAAGAGTCATGAAGTAACCTTTCGGCCCATCCTTGTGCTCGGTGGATATTGGAGTTGGATTCCAAGCAGCAAACCTGGACGAGTTGCTGCAACTTGATCGAATCTGATAATCCTTGAAGTCAATAGAGATCGATGTCTTACTTCCCAGGCTCTCCTAGCCCACCTCGATCTTGCTCGGTGATGCTTTTTCAAAATCCTCCGCGATCTTTCCTGGATACTTAATTGGTATCACCAACATATTCAGTCTTTACTTCATATCGTCTTTCTGTCATTCGTTTTGTCTGTCACTGCAACACTCTTTCAACCACACTCTTTTGACCCGTCCCTCCACTTCGTCCTCTAGAGACATTCTCTACCTGCCAAGATGAGGACTTCTGCCGCTATTTCTTTTTCCCTTCTGGGATTGGCTATTGCTACACCAGTTCCTCAAGATATTGACTTTGATGCGTATGAAGCTGTCCCAGTCTTGCCAGACATCGCGCCTCCAGTTGGTGCATCTGTTGTGTCAACTATCAGCTACAACCCTACCGCCGCTGCTTCTGCTGTATGTTATATTTACTAGTAACCAGAGTCATTTGGAAATGACTGGAGACAATTAAGCTGACCTCGTTATGACAAGGCCGCGGCAGATGCAACTTCAAAGCCAGGTGATTCAATCTCAAAGCGAGCAATCTGTGCTTCCACGAATCCGGGAAACGCACCTCCTGTTACTGTCCCGGCCGATGATGCTGCATCGTTCCTAGCTGATCCAACTATTGCAAGCATCGCAAATGCAGCTGCCGATCCTCCGGGATACTTCCTGGTGGAAGGTTTTCAGAACCTCCAAGCCAGTGCCAGCAACCCCTCATACTTGACCTATGTCAGCAGCCAGCTTACAAGCTACGACCCTACGAAATGCGCTGCTCTGTGTGACGCTATGAACGGCTGCAATTCTTTCAACATCTGTGAGTTTTTTGATTCTGTCTGTGTACAACAACACTCACAAAACCTTAGACTTCGAGCGCGATCCATCTGTCACACCGGACGACACTTCCTGCTCCAACCCTCCCTCCGCCACTCGAATCAAGTGCGCATTCTTCGGCACCTCCCTTACGATCGTCGATGCTACCAACATTGGCCAATGGCAAGGCCAATTCCACGTCGTTCAAGCTGGTTCCAAGTAAGTCAGTCCTCCGTGGGATGTAAGAAATACTGACCGAACCCTCAGCGCCTACACAACCCACCCCCAACCCCTCCCAGGCTGGACTGGTCCCACCTTCCTTGACAACGCCGCCATCAGCGCGCCCCCAGGAGTTGGAACCTACATGGGCGTGCAAACCTTCCCAATGTCTCAACCCTATGACCCCTCGGTCTGCGCTACCGCCTGCCTGCAAAAGTCCGCCTACAACCTCCGTCACACCGTGCCGGCATCTGATGCAAGAATCTGCGTGTTCTTCGATGCGTATATTCTGTACAAGAATGGGCAGAACGGTGTCTTCACCTGTACTTACTACACGGCGGTCTACGGCCCGCCTCAAGCGACGAACAATGGACAATTCAATGCGGCGGGTGATCATTTCACTATTGGGCACAGCTACATTTATTCCTTGGATCCAATCTAGATTGTTTTAGTTGGTTAAAGGGGAGGACGGTGCCTGGTTTGGAGACTTTCTCTCTTTGTGCATTGGTTTTGAATTTTAGATATTTGGTTGATGTGTTATGGCTAGGGAGGTAGATCAGGATGCGGTAGGAAGACTGCGTTTGCACATAATATTCAATTTTTAATTTGTTCCGCAACTTCACTTCTTCAACAGCAATCCACAACCTCTTGCTGCCCATGATGAGGAATTTGACAAGGCTTTTTAATGCCAGCTGCGCTCTGAATGAAAATGGAGAACTCAACCAGACAGTGTGGAGGGTGGAAGTCACGAGCCAAGGTCCGACCCCAGTTAGCGCAGCCAACACATTCTCCGCCGCGCTCTTTGCAACGTCCTCGCCTTCTCATCCCGCACTCAAATTTTAACATGTCAAATCACAGCAACACCCGAACACTCACATCATCATACCGAGCTGAACTCAACACGACCCACCATCAGGGCTGAGCCAAGTGCGTTAAGCCTTGGCTGCACGCGTTCTGGAACCCTGAAGCCCAGTCAGCTTTCTCCCTCGCTGTCCCCTGGCAGGAGCGCAAGCAAGGAGTATGGATTTGGGAGAGTAATTACCTGCCTTGCGCGCATGGAGGGGGCATGCCCGACTCAACAGCCAAATGCAGGTACAACACGCCACAAAGAGGCACAACCAGCGATGTGCATCCGCCGTGGCTGTCAAACCCCCCTCAACGAGAAGTTTTGTTCCCTAGAGGCGCCCGTTATGGTCTCACCCCCCCGCGATGTGGCGCTAACAAGGCCCTGGAAGTGTTCCCGAGCGCTGCCTCAGCATTGGCACTAGCATCCAGTGCCGCTGTAAGGGCCCTGAAGTGTCAGGATGATCCCGATATGGATGCAGTAACCCCTTTTCAGCACAACCCCTCGTCGGTTCAGCTGGTCAGCATTGATTGTGCGCCACGCTTTCGGGCGGTACAGTGTCAGTCCATAGCAAATTTCCTCGTTTCAATAGCTTGCGGATTTGGTTTATTCCCGTGACAGCGCATCTCCCGCATTGCCCTCTTCGTTGTGTGGCTGATGCTTTGAAGCTTGCTGCCGTCTTCCGGGCTGAGCTGGCGGTGGGGCGAGATTGGGAACCTTCGTCGTGAAAGATACCGCTGGAGATACCTCTGACTTCCCAGAAAGAAGGTACCATCATGCTTCTCGTGGATTTCCACGCTCACTGTCATTACGTCGGGGGTTAATTCTTTGATCTGAATCCCCTTATTCAAGTCAATCACTTATATTTTTCGGTCACTCTTTTTCCTGGCATCAAACGCGTTTAATATTGTAAAGATGAGGCTTTCGTGGGCGTCCGTGGCTTTTGGAGCTTCATGTCTTGTTCTCAATGTTTTTGCTTATGACCCTACCGATAGTATTATGGATGGAGGTACGTGAAGTCTTGTGTTTGGCATTGGAGTTGGAGCAACTTGCTAATCTCCCCCAGACTCGAGTCAATCCGGCTATCTCCCTAATCATAATATGGACCCAGCAGTCATTTCTGGAGGCAGTTTTGGCCAGATCTGGAAATACTCAACACCAGCAGGCGGATCAGAGCAATTCTACGCCAAACCTCTCGTTTTCACACCTGCCAGCACCGGCCGCCAGGTTGTTCTTTCCTTTTCCGAACAAAATAGAATATATTCTTTAGATGCTGCCAACGGCACATTGTACGCTACGCGAGATCTTGGGCTTGAAGGCGAACCGCCGTTCTTGGTGTCGGACTTGGGGCAATGTAATGATATCAGTGGGACGATTGGGATTACGGGTACGCCAGTCATTGATCCAAATACCGAGACAATTTATTTCTGGGCGAAGAGTTATTTGGGAGCCGGGAGAGGGTACCAGAATGGCGCATATCGATTTCACGCTATTGATGTTGTTACTTTGAAGGAGAAACCTGGGTTTCCAGTCAATCTCCAAGGTACTCCGGCTGACAACGACAATACGCGGTGGTTCACTGGAGGCACTGTGCTGCAGAGACCCTCTCTGAATATTGTGAATGGGGTAGTTTTTGCCGGATTCGGTGGCCATTGTGATCAGTAAGTGACCTTGGCTCCTCTCTGACATTCTGAATCTCAATTAAGATAGGTACAACTACACTGGATGGCTTGTGGGTATGAGTGCATCGGAACCCAAGGTCATCACCGCCTACACAACCAACGGTGGACCAGGTGCTCCTCCCCAGGACGGAACATGGACTGGCGGGGGAGGCGACGCTGGAATCTGGATGGGAGGATCAGCCATTGCGTCTGATCATACCGGCCGAGTCTTCTTTGTCACTGGAAATGGCTGGCGAGGATCCGTCAATCAAAATCTACCTGCATCCGGACGTATCACTCTTCACACGCTCAGTGAATGCGTGGTCAATATGGCTGTCAATGCATCAACAGGCGTTGTGACACAGGCGGATTACTTCGAGCCGTACACGTACACTGCTATGGATGCTGGAGATCGTGATCTTGGAGCGGGCGGCGTTATCCTTCCGGACCCGAAAACTTTCAATGGTGGAGGAATCCAAAGACTTGCTATCGCGGTTGGAAAGAATGGCATTGCGTATGTCATGAATGCTGATAACTTGGGAGGTTACAAGCTTGGTGTTGGCGGGACTGACGGCATCATCCAGACTATTCCGATGCCTGGTACTATTTCCATCTATCGAAGTAGTTCAATTTGCTAATGACTTCAGGTGGCGGATCTGTCTTTGCCAATTCGGGAACATATCCTTTAGAAGGCGGTTTCCTTTACATTACTCCCGCGGGTTATAACACACAAGTCTATAGTCTCGGACACACTAACACTGGGATTCCTGCCTTCACTCTGGTGGCGCAAACACCAGACACATCGGCAGGCAGGCCGGGCACTGGACCAGCTACGGTCACTACGTACCAAGGTCAAGCAGGAACAGGTATTCTCTGGGTTGCCGATCCCGATGCCGGGTTGAGAGCCTACAACGCCGTGCCCGTAGGTGGTGTGATGACCAAAATCAACCTTCCAGCAACTCCTTCAGTTTCCAAATACCAGCGTCCCGCGTTTGGGAATGGGCGATACTACTTATCTACTTCTAATGGTCAAATTCTAGTAAGTCCCATTCCACCAAACTCTCGGCCATTCGCCGCTAATCAATAGTCAGGCTTATGGATCTCCTGTCAATATGCCCATGACTTGCACCTCACCAACTGATTTTGGATCGGTCCCGATCGGAAGCTTGAAAACGCTCAACATCAATTGCACCGCAAATATTGCTATCACAAAAATCACTGGCTTGGTTCTCCACAAAATCTTGTTCACGGCGTTAAACTCGAGTCTGCCGACAGGAGCCTTGGCTAAAGGAGCAAGTTTCTCGTTCCCAGTGACATTCGATCTGACCAACCATCAACTCAACTCCGGGAGCACAAGTTCTCCCCAAGTCGCCCCAGGTGTTCAAACCACTTCAATAGATCTTCTCACTGTCAATGGTGTAACCGGATATGCCACCACCCAGCCCGTTACTTTGACTGGTATGAGCATCAGTTCTGCTCCATTCATCACCATGAATCCACTGCAAGTTGATTTCGATGGGATTGTCGTCGGCTCTGCGGACCAGGAGACTGGCAGTGATAGTACATTTATCATCAATAACGTGGGCTTGGGCTCAATGACAATCACTGGCTTCGGGTGGACGAACGGGTCTGTTTCCAGCCCAACAGCAATCTTTCACAACCTCACGTCGGCCACCGATGGAAGTGGCAATCCAGTTACCGCATTTGACGGCAATGGGTATTTCACCTCCATCAACATGCCCTCGGTTGGTACCGTCATTCCCGGAGGAGGATCCGTCACTGTTAATGTTAACTTCAATTCCAATGTAAGCCCCTTTCCGAAGGCGCACGTTTTAAAGATGAGTTTCCTGATTGATAATCCAGGTGACCGGAACTTATTACACATCTCTTAAGGTTTATTCCGATGGCGGCGATGCGTATACTATCTTCACTGGTTCCGCGGCCACCAGTCCAGTCGCATTACTCGACTATTCCAACGGCGAAGGGGGGTGGATCCCAATTCCAGATTGCCCAGATCCAACACTGGGCTGTGCAGCTCAGATACCTTTCGCACCATCTGGAGGATTGACTCAACAAACCATCACCCTCCGTCTCACCAACGTCGGTGGTTCTGCGCTGACAATTACAAAATCCAAACCTCTGGAAGGAACAGTACTCGGAGCTACCTCGCCGAATACAGATTTCTCCGAAGGTCTCTCAATTGTTCCAGGGACTTCAACCACGGCTTCGGTTCTCTTTTCTCCTGGTGGATCCACTCTGAACGCAGCCACCATCTACTATTCAGGAGCCTGGACCTTGAACACCGACGACCTGACATTTGGTGTCCACACGCTCAACTTCACCGGTTCTCTCACCTCGAAGCAAGTCGGTCCAAAAACCCCAAGCGGATCTGCACTATACGGATATCTCGGCTGCTATCTCGACTTCACCAACGGCGCGCGGATTGAACCGCATGAAAGCGACAATGTGAACCAGACGAACGGTCTCTGCCAAACCACTGCCCAAACAGCAGGAGCTGTCTTTGCGGGAACGGAATACATGACGCAGTGTTTCTATGGCTCTGTAATTCCGAGCGCATCTCTATTAGCGTCGGATTCGCTGTGCTCTTACTCTTGTGGTGGGGACTCGAGCCAGGTTTGCGGTGGTCAGGGAGGGTATTTGAGCGTCTATTATGATACTACGAGGTACTTTCCTGCTAATGGGACAATTGTCGGGGCTTCTGGGCAAGGTCCGCAGATTACTAAGACGGTCGGGGCTTACAATTATGCTGGGTGTTGTAAGTTATGTGAAGCTCTTGTGGCTATGTGATGCTGATGTGAGTCTAGGGTCCGATGTTGCAACTGCGAGAGTCCTGAGTGCGAAAGCCACAGCCGGATCGACGATATCTTTGGAGAGCTGTGCCACGTTCTGTTCTGCGTATACTTATTTCGGGACTGAGTATGCGGATGAAGTCTGTAATTTCTGGCTGAATTTTTGATGAAATGTGCTGACATTCCAAAGTGTTACTGTGGGAATACTCTTGCCGGTACGAGCATTCTCCATGCAGATACAGACTGCAGCATGGCTTGCACCAATAACACTGCTGAATTCTGCGGTTAGTACTATCTATCTATTCCCCAACTCACCGTGCATTTTACTGATCAAGACAACAGGAGCCGGTAGCCGACTCTCTTTGTACATCAAAAACGGAACTGCCATTCCAACCGCTTCTTCATCTTCGGCTACATCGGGCAAATCTTCCACGTCTTCAGTGGTGACGTCCGTTTCATCTACACCCTCAGCTTCAGCAACTCCAACCGGTGCATTCACCTCCCTAGGTTGTTACACCGATAACGACGTGACAGCGCGGACCCTCGTCGGCGCGGCCAGCACAGGAGCCAGCATGACTGTCGAATCCTGTGCAGCATTTTGTCAAGGCTTTAATTACTTCGGGGTCGAGTATGGAGCTGAATGTTACTGCTCGAACACCATTGCTTCAACCGGTGTTCCAACTACGGATGGACGATGCAGTATGCCCTGCGCGGGAAATTCTGCTGAGCTTTGTGGAGGAAGTTACGGGCTGAATTTGTATTCTCTGTCTCCCCCATCCACTTCCTCTTCAGCTTCTCAAAGCTTGACAAGCACTTCATCCGTACAAGTCACAACCTCATCCTCCCTCATAATCACAATATCTTCCCGCACAAAAACTTTATCAACATCAGGCACTCCCACGCCATCGATCCCCGCCGCAGTCGGCGCATACACGTATCTTCACTGCCACAGCGATAATACGACCATCCGCACTCTACAAGGCAAATATGTGGCTAAAGCAGATATGACGATCGAGCACTGCGCGGGGAACTGCACTGGATATCTGTATTTCGGAGTTGAATATTCGCAGGAATGTTACTGCTCAAATACCTTGGGCTTCGGGAGCTACATCGCGACGGATGGACGGTGCAAGATGCTCTGTGAGTCACCTTCAATTCCGAGAGCGAAAGGAAAGGCTAACTAGATTGGCATAGGTGGTGGAAACTCTGGAGAGATTTGTGGTGGGGCGAATGGGTTGACCTTGTATCAGAATTTGACGGGCGTTGTTTCTTCATCATCGGCGGCGCTGAGCAGTACGACGAGCTCCGTATCATCGAGCTCATCGACGTCTGCTTCTGTGTCTGTTTCGACAACATCCAGCTCCTCCGCGGCTACACCTTCAAGCAGTTCTGTCGGACTGTCATCGACATCCAGTGTATATTCATCGTCCTCTTCGATCTCAGTGACTTCCTCGACGCCTTCGACCAGCTCAAGCTCCGCTCAAACCTCAAGCAGCCAAATAACAAGCTCAACGTCTAGCTCAATGCCTGCCCAGACGACATCAGGTAGCCAATCTTCGACCTCTGTCTCTTCCGGCTCAACTCAATCGAGCTCGAGTTCCAAGACGGCGACCTCCACATCAAGCTCCACACAGGCAACAGCAAGCAGCTCAACCCTTTCCACCTTCAGCCCAATTCCACCAACGTCGACGAGCAGCCTTCTAACGAGTTCGAGCTCCACATCAAGCTCAGAAATATCGAAAGCAACTTCGTCTCCTTGGACTTACGTAGGCTGCGCAAATGACACCGTCCTCGCTCGCGCTCTCACCGGCTCCTCCAAGACAAACGCCACCGCAATGACCATTGAATACTGCCAAGCATACTGCTCCTCCAAAAATTTCGGACTCGCTGGTATCGAATACGGCGCTGAATATTACTGTGGTTACGCTCTCACCAATAACTCTACCCTCGGCCACAGTGGCTGTACCTCCCTATGCGCGGGTGATAAGAGCGAGGTCTGTGGTGGGTCAAAACTGCTGAGCGTTTACAACGATACCAGTTTTGTGCCCCCGAGTATTCCGCAGAAGGTTGGAAATTACAATTACACTGGTTGCTACAAGGAATTGACGAATGCGAGAGCGATCACAGGTTATTCACTGACGAGCACGAGTAGTATGACGGTGGAGATGTGTGTTGGTGCGTGTCAGACGAAGGGATATACACTTGCAGGCGTCGAATATGGCAGCCAGTGTTTCTGCGGGAATTCGATCAGTCCGTTAAGTTCTGTTGTTGCTGATAGCCAGTGCCAAGTCATGCTGTGTCCGGGGAACAGCAAAGAGTGGTGCTCGGCAGGAAGTCATTTACAAGTGTACTCGAGTTGATCGTGCATTCCGGGCGCAACGACTTTGTGGCTTTGTATTGATTCCGCAGCGTTCATTCTTCTGTCCTCCATACCTTCTTTTGTTGAAACTTTATACCTTATTAAAAGAAATAGATTCCGGTGAAGTGTATCGTCCGAGAACAAGTCGTTTCGAAAACTGTGCCCCCTGACGGCGTCAAAAGTAAGACCGGATGATTGAGCCATAACGAGCCCACCCTCAAAAGTTCGTGGTTTTAGCCACATTTCAGGCCTTGCCGAACCCATGTCAATAACTTTATCTCGTAATTATTTGATAACTATAAAGCATGTTAGCTTTAAACTCGAGCGCACAAGATGAATTTTTTTTTAATTGAGTTTAGAGATCTTATTCTAAGCAATTTCGATAAATTTAAATTATTAAAATTCTCCTTTGTAGACAATCGTTAACGAAATGCCCTAAAAACACGGACTTTCGAGGGCACGCCATGCTGTCTTGGGCGCTTATTGTGTCCGAGCAAAGGCGTTGGTAAGTGCGATACAGCCTATCAGACTCATGTCACACTAATTATCAGGCTGGGGCACCGCTGCAGCCTCGCAGCATACGTAAGCCATCAGCATCACAACCCACAACCTTCATGTTGGGCCTACTATGACTACGACCTTGGTATATTTCCTTCCCCCAGACCTGGGACTCCCTCCCACCGAACTGACGAGTATATCGCGAAGTCGACAAGATGAATCAACCAGGCCCGAAAGGCGTCGCTGTGTCGGAGCAGCAGTTCAACCGCGCCTGTGACGCTTGCCGCATGCACAAAGTCCGCTGCCTGCCTAATAACTCCGCGACATCGAAGACCTGCCAGCGCTGCGCGAGGACGGACAGACAATGCGTGTATACTGCGCCGCAGAAGCGGAAACAGAGGAAGAGGACGGATGCGCGGGTAGCGGAGTTGGAGAGGGAGGTGCAGGCTATGAGGACGCTGTTCGAGAAGAAGGAACAGCCTCCGAATGGGAATTCGAGCTCGACGGTTGGGGATACGCCAGTGGCACATATGTCTGGCTCGGGCTCGTCAACGACGGGCAGTGAGGAGCAGCTGGGGAGGACGGCGGTGGTGGAGGCTGCTAGGTCGGAACCACAGCAGCCGTTGAATTTGGAGTGGAGTGGGATGCCGACTCAAGAACCGATGGGTACTCCTGCTGCCTATTCCCCGGATTCGGATGTCATTGATCGGGGTGTTATATCGCTGGAGCTAGCAACTCAGTTACTGCATTCGTACAATACTGGGCTGGTCAACTATTTTCCCACCGTTCACTTCCCTCCTGAAGTCACGGTTGAAGAGCTCAGGAATACCAAACCAACCTTGTTCTTGGCAGCAATAGCCGCCGCCTCTGGAAAAGAAGGCTCTCGACTTTACAGCATTCTCAATACCGAAGTTCTCTCTGCATATGCCCATCTGACGGTCATCAGGGGTGAGAAATCTCTTGAGCTCGTTCAAGCCTTGATCATCACTTCAGTCTGGTATTACCCTCCAGGGAAGTACTCGCAGCTCAAGTTCTATGAGTACATCCACATGGCTGCGACAATGGCATTAGATATTGGTTTAGGCACGAATCCAAAGACTTTCAGGAGCCGTCGCGGGACAGATTCTGATGGAGACTCACCTCCCGCAGGTGACCTAAACGATGCGGAGCTTGAAAAAAGGAAGACTTTTCTGGCTTGCTATCTGATTAGTACTGGGTGGGTCTTCCCAATTATCCTTGGAGGGCTTTAACTGATGAATCCAGGGTGGCCATGAGTATGAGACGACCCAATATGCTGCGGTTCAACAAGTGGATTAATGAATGTCTTGAGTCCGTGGCTAACAACCCAAGAGCTACGAAGCTGGACACATATTTGGTTCATTGGGTCAGAGTGACCAAAATCCAAGATGAACTTGGACAGTCCCTCTCATTTGATGATCCAAGTAACATGGCGAACCTGGCTGAACCGATGGTACAGCTGAAAGTCACCGGCTTCGAGAAGACATTGGAAGCTTGGAAGAAAGTAGCTGAGTTTGAAGTCAACGGTACCATCCCTATGATTTTCGAACTCCCCTTTACTAACATCACTAGATATACTAATGTTACAATACCACCATACACAAATGTACCTCCACGAGATCGCCATGCACGACGAGCACCCACCCGAAGACTTCATGCCCCCTTTCGGCCTCGAGAAAATCCTCTCCGTCCTCACAATCCAATCCGACTCCCGCGCCCCCTCCTCTTACATAGACTCCACTGCCGTCTCCATCTCCTCAGCACAAGCATTCCTCGACATCCTGATAAACATGGATATCGATGCCCTCCGCATGATACCTATCTTCAACTTCGCGCGCATGGCGTACTGTCTAATCACGCTCATCAAACTTTACATCTCCGCCAAAACCCCTTCGTCTCCCATCGGCTCTGTTCTCGACCCAAAATCCTTGAAAATTGGGTATTATCTCAATGCACTTATGGAGACATTGGTGGAGGCCATTGGACCGAATGAATGCAGATCGCCGTATACGTTTCTCGGGATGATATTACGGTTTCAAGCGTGGTACAACAGCCAAGAACACACCGACGTCTTTGTCCCTCCTATCGCCAACCGGAGGGCAGAGGATTGCTGGCTGCCTCCTGTTCCCGAGATTCACTGGTACAGGCGCCTTGAGAAACGACAAGAGACTCTTGATCGCCCACCGATCGGTCGAACACCTTCAGACGGTACTATGATGCCGAACGAGATGCTGCAGGATCCGTTTGAGAGGATGGATCTTAATGTGAATAGAGCTAAGAACATCGGATCTGGAGCTACCGGAAGTGGGGGCGGGCCAACTGATCCTGGGAACGAGCAGAGTATTGAGAACTTCTTGTTGTATGATCAGATGGAGGGGCTTGGACAGGGGTTTGGGGAGTGGATGCCCGAGGTGGATATGCCGGGCAATCAGATGGATGGGTATAGTTGGGAGTTCTCGCAGGGGACGGGACATACTCCTCCGCAGTGAAAATTTGCGCCTCTCACTTAGCCAGTGGTATGGCGTCCAGACAGATTTGCTTTAGCGTGAGGGAATCGCGGTGTAATGGTATTGTTTTGTTCTATCGGAAGATGGGATACCCAATTGGCGTTCGGAAGGCAAGCGATTTGACTTTTAGAAACTCGGGATTGATATCGGTGATGATATATAGGAGATGGGAGCCATTTTGCTGAGGATTACTGGTATGGCTGGAGGGGTCGCAGACGGAAGATACTCTCTCAGATCTCGGATTGGAAAAAAGTCTCCTCCCCAAAGGCAGACGTGCTCTGACAATTTAAAAATTCCACTCTCGAATCGGAAACCAAAAGAACCATTGAGGTTTGTGCTCTGTAAGTTGTCAGTTAGTTCAACGGGCCAAACGATTAAGAGTTCCTTTATTACCGGTGTTTTCCGCCCCGAAAGTTCGGTATCAAAATACCCCGCACATGTGCGTTCAAAAACCGACGTCAACGAGCACCCCCGCTTCACTTCGTCATACCTCTTCAGCTTCAATACAGTGAAGTGAGTATCTCAAACAGGGTATATATGAAGGCTATCAAATGTCATCTATATAGTAGAAGCCTAGCAAGCGAAGAATTTGACAAACTGCCTTGGGGGCACGTTCGGGGAGTTATGCCGGGAAGATCAACTGCTCAAACTAGTAGTGACCGGAAGATGCAGATCCCAATTGATAGCTCCCATATTTCTCTCTCCTTTTGTAGATTACCTCTCTTCCTCTTTTCCTTTCTTTCATTATCCCAAAATCCATATTCAGAAGGACAATGCCTGTCTATTAAAGTAGTCAGACGAACAGATATCCGGCATGTTTTCCAAAACCGGCAGCCCCTTTCTCCATGGCCCGCTCCTCATCACAGCCATAACCGCCGTTTGCTCCTCTGGATTTCTCCTCTTTGGCTACGATGAAGGCGTCTCGTCCGCCATCGTAATCTCCCACTACTGGCTCAACTCAATGGGGAATCCCAGCACCCTCACAATCGGAAACATTACTGCTCTCACAACGTTCGTGCCTTTCTGGGTGCTATCTCCGCAGCATTCACAGCTGGATCCCTCAGCCGAAAACGAACTTTGCTCCTTGGTACTTCCATTATAATAGTTACCTCTAATAAATATAATGCTACTAATACTAGATAAGCTAAATTAAAGAAAAATTACTAAAATTCTAGGCTTATAAATTAGGAAATAAAGGAAGCCTATTTTAATAAGACTATTTTTAACTTATTTATCTTTAAGCTTTTAGTAATATATAAAGCAATTATTAATAGTTTCTATATAATAAATATACAAGCGAGTATATACTATAGCGTAGCTGGGAAGTCACGTGTAGTATTATCAGAGAGGTTGTTGCTTTTAGGACGAAGCCGGCTTGACGCAAATGTGACTTGTGGAACTGTGGCGCATGAATTGCAGGGATTACAAGAGCTAGCGTCTTGGCGCTGTGGCTTAGTGTGATTTCTGGAAAGGGAGGCCGCTTCGGTAAAACTAGAGAATGGATTTCCTGTTCAGCATGCCTGGCTACCCACATCGGTTCCCCTGCCTTGTTTCAACTACTTGTATACGGTAACATCAGGGATCGAGGCATTAGCAGATGCCAGATCGGCCCCTTCAGCCGTTATCTCGGCCGTTGGGGCTCCCAGAGCGCAGGTAGAAGGATTCCCAGCCAAATTCCCAGCCACTCAACCGCCCGGCGGAACACCAAAAAACTGACAATTTTTTTTCAAAGTATTTGGAAAATCCCCAGAACTTCATAGATAATAGACATTACTCCGAGGAGTCCGAATATAGCGTTTATTTCTCCAAGTTGTGTTGTTGTTGTGGTCAAATCTAAGTTTGAGCGGTTGAGTGGTGTGGACATTTGGCTGGTGAACTTCTACAGTACTGGTAGCTCGCAACGTCATTGAGACCCGATACCCGGGAAGATAGCAATTTCAAACTGGAATGACTTCCTGGTATAACTCCTCTGGGGCGTAGTCTCTGTTCTTGATGAATTGGCGCAGAATATTGTATGTGGTGATCATTTTACAGGGCAAGATTTGTTTGTCTGCGTGGTTCAAATGGAAACCCAACAACTGCCAGGCCCTCTGAGTGGTTGCATAACAGCGTCCAATGATATTGTTTATTATGGACGACACAGCCTCACGATACTACCACCTTCGTGGTCTTAGCTCCTCCAAAGCTAGGTCCTCACCTCTTCATCTCTTGTCCATACTTGATGCGCGACACTCAGTGTAGTCTTTTCGAGGCACCATCGCTATGTCAGCTTTATTGGCAAATGCTTCACGGCTGAAACCCGAAATTCGCCTGGCACAGGCTATTTCGCAGTTCGAAGCCGACCTCTCGAGCGAGCACAAAGCAACCTTCCATACCTACAGAACCCAGTCGCACAACTCCCCTCCTAGTCACACCGATGTCATGCGACTCGCAGCCGAGATTGACCATCGCGCGTCCGGAAAGGTTGGCGGGCGGTGTTTCGGACCTCGATTGATCAATGTCCTACAAGCCGTCCAGCAATTCGCGGCACTAGGGGATGTCATAGTAGGCGCATCCCAGAACATAATTGCATGTGGCGTGTGGTCGCTGGTGCGAATGACCTTGCTTGTCAGTGTCTCTTGACCTCCTTTATTTTGTTCTTGACTAATGTCTTTATAGTTCATGGTTACCTCCACCTCCTACTTGGAAAAGTTATCGGACCTCTTTATGACCGTCGGACGCTCGGCCCCCCGTTACCAAACGATGGCCCTACTCTATCCCCTATCCAAAAGTCTGCAGTCAAGCCTGTCTGAATATTTCATTGTGGTAGTTCGTCTCTGCCATCAGCTATTAAAGTTCACACAAAAGTCGATCTTGGGGCAGTTGGTATCTTCTCTCAGCGACTTAGACCCAAAGACCTACCAATCAGAACTCGACCTCTGGGCCAATTCGGTAAAAGAGGAGGTGAACCTACTAATTGGCCAGAAAATTGAGGAGGAAGCCCGTGAGAATTCCCGATTCAGAGCTCTTTCGAACAAGTTCTCGGAAAGGGCGTCGCACCACAGAAAACTGAAGACGAAGCTACGCCTCCTCGAGTCTTGCTCCACGTACGATTACGAGACTACGTGGAAGCAGACTCGAAAAGTCGGAAACGCAACCCTGTTCAGCCAAGCTACCCAATACCAGAACTGGAAGGGCCGACCAGATTCCTGCACCCTCGTTTATATAGGCAAGCTGGGATCAGGAAAGTCTGTTTTACTGGCCAACGTTATTGATGATTTGAATCTTTATGTTCAAAACAAGAATATCGCAGTGGCTTATTTCTTTTGCCGGCACGATATTCTTGAGAGCTTGAAAGCGCGGACGGTCATTGGGTCTCTAGCTCGACAATTGTTGCGCCCAATTTCTGATCTTTCCATGGCGGTGGGATTCCTTGATGAGACTACTCCGGCACTTGATTTCGAAAAATTATTCAGTTTGCTCCAACGAGCCCTTCCATTTAACTTTAAAGCGTACTTTATCCTCGACGGGTTGGATGAATGTGATGATGTTGAGAGACAGATCTTGATTCGACAACTTCAGGAACTCCAGGAGATATTTGCGCTGCTTCTCTGTGTTTCAACCAGACTGGAGGTCGACAATGCCTTGGGATTGAGACTGGAACAGTTCGCTAACCCCAGCGTTATTTCAATTCCTGATAATAATCCTGATATTGAGAGCTTCATTGGTGCAGAGTTAGAGAGCTGCCTGAAGTCTGGAAAGCTGGCGATCGGGGATCCCGCCCTTATACTCGAAATACGAAATGCTCTCCTAGAAGGTGCTCAAGGAATGTTCCTCTGGGTAGCCCTTCAAATCAAATCCTTATGCGCCGAGAAAACAGATGAGGCCATTCGCCAGGCTCTGGCGGATCTTCCAAAAGATCTCTCAGAAACGTTTTCACGCATTCTACGGAAACCGGAAGATTTAGGTAAACCTTATCAGAGGCCGATACTAGAGCTCATCACCGTGGCTCACCGTCCCTTAACAACCGAAGAACTTCGGGAAGCCTTAAGTGTCGTTCCCGGCGATACTACCTTCAACCCGGCAAGGCTCCTCAACGAATTGTATTCGACATTGACTTGCTGCGGAAGCCTCATCGCCGTCGATGAAGAGGAGTTGACCATACGACTTGTGCACCATAGTGTCAAGCAATTCCTCCTTAGTGGGTCCGAAGACTCGAATGGACTGCCATTTACCGAATGTAGTGCACATAGGAAGATGGCAGACGTTATCGTTACCTACCTCAATTACGGCATTTTTAGTACCCAGCTATGTACTATGGTAGTCCCGCGAATAATGACCGCATCAGCCCCTTCTACAATTATCCGCTCAGCCCTAGATTCTTCACGGAATGCTCGAAGCCTTGCATTGAAGCTTTTACATTCCGGGAAACAGCTTGATCATGACATTGGCAAGGCTCTTGCGGGAGCGAGCAAGAACTTCAAACCTCGCTCGGTAGATGAATTTCACTTTTACTCTTATGCAAAGTCGTATTGCCTTTATCACGCTTGGTACAAGTTAGAACAAGAGCCGGTGGTGTGCAACCTGCTAGTTGAACTATTGGAAAGGGAGGTAGTCGACGCAAATGCAATGGACGAATATGGTCGGATGCCGCTCTGGTGGGCTGTGCGGCTAGGGCAAGAGGCCATCGTTAAGCTGCTACTCGATTCTGGCAAAGTTGATGCTAACTCGAACGATAAACGTGGTCGAATACAGCTCTGGTGGGCTGTACAGATAGGGAAAGAGGCCGTTGTTAAGCTGCTGCTCGATTCTGGCAAAGTCAATGCCGACCCGAAGGATAAGTTTAGTCGGACACCGCTCTCGTGGGCTACAGAGATAGGCCACGAGGCTATTATAAAGCTGCTGCTCGATTTTGGCAAAGTCGATGCCGACCCGAAGGATGAATCTAGTCGGACGCCGCTCTCGTGGGCTACAGAGATAGGAGACGAGGCTATTGTAAGGCTGCTGCTTGATTCTGGCAAAGTCGACGCTAACTCGAAGGATAATGCTGGCCGGACGCCGCTCTCGTGGGCTGCAAAGAAAGGGCAAGAGACCGTCGTCAAGCTACTGGTCGATTCTGACAAAGTCTACGCTGAGTCGAAGGACAAAATTGGTCAAACACCGCTCTCGCTAGCTGCAGAGAGAGGGCACGCGGCCGTCGTCAAACTGCTTCTCGACTCTGGCAAAGTCGACGCTGACTCGAAGGATAATGCTGGCCAGACGCCGCTCTCGCGAGCTGCAAAGAAAGGGCACGCGGCCGTCGTCAAGCTGCTTCTCGATTCTGGCAAAGTCGACGCTGACTCGAAGGATGAACTTGGTCAGACGCCGCTCTCGCGAGCTGCAGACAGAGGGCACGAGGCTGTCGTCAAGCTACTGCAGTCCCACTTCCGATCAAGAACAATCTGAATGACAATATTCGCATACGAGTCTTTGGGGAGCTCTGGGAGGTGAGAGGGAGGTTAACTAAACTCAACCTCTGCTCAATTATGTCTGTGATGGTTCAAAAGTATGAACAAGGTCAAATGCGGCCGGAGCAAATTGATTGTCTCCAAGGAGAGAAGAGGTTCGTAAAGAAAGCCCTGACTTAAGCTATTTACACAATATTCATAAAGTGAGACGATTTATAAAGTATGAAAGTCACCTGACCTTCCCCTCACTATATCCCTTGACACATCTGCATTCAGTGTGTTGGCAATTCTGGGATGAATCGCAGCGGAGTTTGGCATGTATAAATGAATTGTATAAACAATCTCGCAATCGCGCTTGTCAAGCTCCACTCGAATTTCGAACGATATTCGAGTTTGTTACTAGCCTTTTCGGGATTAAGACAACCGGAATTCGGTCTCTCGCGATTGGCCTGGGATATTTGGACACTGAAGAATGGCCTTACCGAGCTCTTCGGAGCTACGAAATTTAGAAGAGTTAATCTTGGTTAATGAATATATTAAGTCTTTAGAAGAGAGCATAAGTTTAAAGGATTATTTTGATTTGTCGGAAGTATTCACAACGAATCTCTAGGTTTAATAGTCGGTTTGAAGATTTTGTTTATAGTTGAATTGAAGTTAAGAAAATTTCAAAAAACTTTGGGAAACTTTGGCTATCTGCCAAGTCTTTATTCTCATATATTCATTCCGAAATAATACGCTGCCTAGGGGCGGCAGCGGATTCTGCCGGGGCACGTACACGACTCACCTTTCCTAATCGGGCAAGTACCACGTAACTCACCATAACCTCGTATATATTTATACTCTCTATATACTTCCTTTAACCTACCAAAAATATAATAAAATATTAACTTATATATAATATCTTCGCTCCTAATAAGCAAACTTGAATCCTCAGTATTAATAAGCTTTTAGTATTACTTACTATATCTTTCTAGTTCACCTTTTAAAATAGTATTCAAATAACTAATTAGGATATTAATATCTTTTAAAATTAACTACTAATATATATATCTTATTAAGAATAAGGCTTAAAAAGGCTTGTTACTAACGAGCTTTTTATAGCCAATATTATACTACTTACTAAGCTCTATAAGAAATCCTTTAAGCTTGCCTTAATTATCTTATTATTTGCCCTAAAAAATAACTATAGTAAGTATAATTTTTATATTAATAAAAGCTTATTATTTACGAGTTTATTAGAAGACTCTACTAGCCCTATAAATAAAATAGTAATATCTATTAAGATACTCAAGCCAAGTATTATTCTTATAAGCTATATTTCCTATCTAAAAAAGCTCGTTACTAATAAAGATTTAGGCCGCTATTCTAATACTTCTATATTAGTTAGTACTAGTAAATCTATTTCTCTTATCATATCTAAAAAGGTTATTACTAATAAGCTTTTAAATAAACCTCTTAATATAAATAATAAAAATCTGCTTTCTTATAATTATAAGTAGAAGCTCGTTATTATTAAACTTTTTATAAAGTACTATATTAATACTTTTCTTATTTATAACTAAAATAATTAAGTTATTAGTAATAACCTTATATATTATTATTCTTTTAATCTTCTAATAAAAGCGCGTTATTAATAAGCTTTTTAGATACCTATAACTCTTAATACTTCTTATTATACTATCTTATAAGAGACTTTGAACTTCTTATAAAATAGAAATCTTATAGTTATAGTAAGTCTATTTTCTATTAAATAAAGCTTATTACTAACGAGTTTTAGAACTTAGTTAATAGTAATTATTATATTACTATTACCTAAATTATCTTAGGAAATAAAGTATAGATTTGAATAAAAAGGCTTAGTAAAAACGAGAAATTTGTATTACTTTTCTTTAGTTTAATATGGCATTTATATTAGAAGAAGTTAAGATTATTTTAAATAAGATATTATTTTAGTAATATACTAAAGTTAATTAAAAACTCATTAATACCGAACTTCTTTAAATATAAAAAGAAGCCTCGTTTTTAGTAAACCTTTTTAAATATTTTATTTACTAATATAAATATACTTCCTTTTATAAGTATAATACTTTATATTTCTAAACTAATTAGGGTTTATAAAATTCTTTCTTAAAGTTATAGGATTATTATTCTAGCTAACTAAATACCTAATAATTAAACTTGAATTAAAATTAGTATTCTAATTATCCTAATTATAAATTCTTTTTAAGCCCTATTTCTTTTTCGAATAAAGCTATTAGTAGTTCCTTTACTAAAAAAAGTAGGTTTTATATAGCTTATAATTTATACTAATATTAAGAAAGTTATACCTAAAATATTCTATAAAAGTAGAGGCCTCCTAATTAATTATTAATAATAAGAAAATCTCAAAGAAATATTTATAATAAGGAAATTAAAAGAGATTTTATAAGTAATTTATTTCTCTATATAACTCGGTTTTAAATATTAATTTACTAGAATATATATTTTTATATTATATAAGATATTTTAATTTATTCTAAAAAAGTATAAACTAGATAAAGATAAGGCTTATTAATATTTAAATATAATATAAAGAACTTAGTTCCTATTTATTTATTAGTAATAAGTCTTTTAAAAAAGCTTATTTAAAATAATCTTTTTACTCCTATATTAATTTATTTTCTGAAATAGAAGATTTATTTTTAATTTTCCCTTTTTTCTTATTAAATATAGTAATATAATAAGCTTAAAGAGAAAGAATCTTATTTACCTATAATAAGTACTAAAAAGTAAATATATAAATAGCTTATATTATTTTCCGGTAATTAGGGCTATTTCAAATATAAATATATTTATTATAAATAAGCTTTTCCCCAAATACTTATTTAAGAAGGTATTAATTAAATTCCTATATTTTATATAAGTTCTTATAAGTTAAAATATAAGAGCTTATTAATACTTTACTTCTTATAGCTTATTTCTTATTAGTAATAAGCTAAATAAAATAAAATATTATTAGAAATAAGAATTTGTCTTAAGCTTATTTAAAGCTTTTATATATTTTGAAATAGTTAATAATAATAAGGGATTTCTCTATTACTTTTCTGTTTTATAAACTTGAACTTATTCTAAACTATTATAATATTAAAGGCATATAAAAGCAAACTAAAAACTTGCTATTATCCTTATTTTTAAAGTATATAAATAAATAGTAGTATAATTTCTTATTTCTAATAAGTTAAGGAGTTTCTTTAGCTATAATAAGCCTTTTAGTTAATAGATAGACTCAATTTATTTATAAATATATTATAGATATTTAAATAAGGCAGTATTAAGGTTTTCTTAGCCTTATTAAGGATATCTAAAAGTAATAAAAGTTATAAATTACTTATAAAACCTGGAAAAGATTATTAGAAATAAGCTTTTTATAAGGAAATTAGTACTAATAAGATATAAGCCTTTAGAGTTTATAATATAAGAGCAGATTTAGAAGTCTTAATAATTCTCTTTATTTTCTTTTTAATATTAATATCCTTTTTAATATAAGCTTAATACTTATTATTAATAAGCTATTCTTATATTATAATAATATTAGATTACTTAGTATTAAAGTTAAAGTTATTATTTAATTCCTTAGCTATATTAAAAAAACTATCTGTAATTATTATTTTGAAATTACTTTAATATAAAAGGTTATTAGAAATCAAAAATAGTAAAAAAATTCTCGGTATAAACAAGGCTTTCCTTAGCTAATAAGCTCTCCTAGTAAAGATCTTTATTTATATAAAGCTAATTTTAAATATTATTTTTACTTTTCTTTTAATATTATATTATTTATAATAAAGAAAGAAAAGAAGCTTTTTATAAGTACTTATTTATAATAAGAAATTAATTATAGTTATATATTAGAAAAGGCTTATATTTTACCTAAAAACCTTATTAATACTAATTCTTATATTCTTTTTAAGAAAACCCGGCTTTTATAATAGGCTAATTTTTATAAGCTTATTCTCTAGTATAAAATATAATATTAGATTGTATTCTCTTAAATATATAGTTAATATTAAGTAAAAAAAAAAGATTCGTTTCTATTAGGGCTTCTTTAGCCTAGCTAGTAAAATTCTTTAGTACTACCGAGCCTTTTACTAAAATACTTGGGCCTCTTACCAAATTCCTTATTAATAGTAAGCCTTTTAGTAAATTCCTTATTAATACCGAGAATTCTCAAAAATTATAAGATATTTCTCTTAAAATCCTTAGTAATACCGAGAATTTTCAAGACCTATAGAATATTATAACTAAATTCTTTAATAATAATAAACTACTAGCTATAGATAGGATTTTAATTTTCTTGGGGAAGTTTAAGCTTAATTTTAGAGAAATCTTAGTAATTCCGAAATAATTAAAGCTTATAGCTAAAGCTTTAAGATCTTAAGCTTCTTATATTACCTTTAACTTTCTCGGTAATAATAAGAAGTTAAAGCTAGTTCCTTGGCCCTTAGTACTTGCTCTTTCTTTAATAATTTATAGGAAAATATTAGAGCTTATAGATCTAGTTTATAATTAGGAATTTAGGGAAATACTTATTATAAACGGGTATTTTATTTCTTTATAATTCTGGCAAGCCTTATATAAGAACTACTTCCCTATTATATAGGGATATATTAAAGCTAGTTAGGGTAATTAGAAGGTAAAAGATCTAAATATCTAAGGAATTCCTTATTATTAATAAATCTTTCTAGTTTATATTTTTCTTATTTATATTATATAATTAAGACTAGAATAAGTTTTAAAAGAGATATAGGAAATAGAAGGCTATTTTAGTTCTTTTAAAGGCTATATAGTAGAATCGGAATATTCTTAATATAAAGGATATAAATAAAATAAAGAATAAAAAGAATTTTAATATCTTTTATCTTATTTATTCTAAGGGAAAGAAATAATATCTCCTAATAAAAAAGAATATTAATATAGCTTACTAGTAATAAGTTAGATATAATTTAGAGGCTTATTAATAGTATGGTTTTATATAGACTTTATTTATTACGAGAATTTTAATTAAATTCTCTTATTTTCTTTTTTTCTTTATTATATTTCTATATTACCTATAAGTTATTTAAGTAGTCCTAGAAAATACTCAGTAGTAGTAAGCTTCTTACCTGCCCTCTCCCTTTATTATCTAGATTTCTTGTTCTGGATAAGGAAATCCCAGAAAACTTTTTAGTATATACTACCATAAGCGGTAATATATTATTTACCCTGGAAATATTAAAAGCTCGGTCTTTACAAGAGGAAAAAATATACTACTGGCTAGCAGTAGTATATATTATGGTAGGGTTATAGTAGGATAGTAATAATTTCGATAGAACTTGAGATAACTCACCCGTAATAAGGTATTTAATTAAACTGAGAACGGGAAGCTATTATTACTATATAAGACTATAACTCTAGCTAATTTTTTCACGATAAAAACCCTCGTTATTATTATACTAATTAATAGAAGGGTCATTGCTACCGGGCATACGCTTTGAGCGGGCGGTGAGGTGTGGGGCGCTAGCCAAATTAGGGGCTAGGGGCTGGCAGCGTATTTTTGTGGGTGATAATTTTACATTCTTTGCAGATTTGGCTTGTTCTGCTAGAAAGAGAGATTGAGTTACTACTTCTATTACTATCTAATGAATATAAACGTCTTTAAGTAAGAACGAAATAAAATATTGGGGTTTTCTTAAAATGTTCTTTATTATTAATAATTATTACAAGATATTTCTCTTTAATTTTTGTTTTCATTTTCTAACCTCGGAATAGCAAATCGGTGTCTCTCCGGTTGTATCTTGATATACTGGAGGCAGGAGTGAACCACTTGGAGAGAACCAGGAAAGCAATGAAGTTGCTGAAACGCGACAAGATGAAAGCCCTCGAAGCACTTCTTCAAGGGGAGAGCGGGACACACAGCACTTGAGGACCTGAGACGGGGACAATTTTATAATTTCTGAACAAAACTACGCCAAACTTGCGGCCGCGTCACCGACCGATTTTGAGAGTTGGAGACTTTCGCTTCTTCCACATCAGATACGGTTTGATTTCAGTGCATTGGCATGTCTTAACAATTGAGTTCTGCGCTTTGCGCTGCATTTTAAACAAATCTCCTCACATGCCAACGTTCACTAACTCGCTCCCTGATCCCATCGCACTTCACGTTCTCCCACCTTAAATGGCCAATATTAAGAAAGTCTGAAAAGCGGCTGTCTTGCTTCAAGTACTCAATCCACTTAACCCTCAATCTCATGCTTGTCGCCATACCCAGTTCGCTTGATGTAGAGGATGGGTTCGGCTTCAGCCTCTGCCTCTGGGCTTGCCTCGCGCTTGTCTCCGTACCCAGTTCGTTTGATGTAGAGGATAGGTTCGGCTTCGGCGATGGGACTGGCTTTGCGACCTTGGATTTCGGAGAGGATGTCGTTGGCAGGTGCTGGAAGAGCAGCGGCCAGCGGGGCCGGAACCAGGATGAGGAGTGTGGAAAGCTGCATTTTGAAGCTTCTTGTAAGGGCTTGTAATTCAAAAAAATGTGGTTTGAGTGTGTCTAGGTTCGAGATAGGGAGGCTTTTAGAGATGAAGCAAGATTAAATATGAAGGTTGATTTGAGATATGTCAATCCCATGAGAAGATATAGTTGAAATTCTAATGCAGCGGCTCTTCCGGAACAGCATCCCGTTATCCCAGCTACCACCTGCCCTAATGAGACTAATTCTATGCTATGAGGTGGCAACGCTCAAACTCGTATCGGTCTGTCAGGTCTTCGCCGTCTCAGGAATGCCAGCCTATTCGGGACTTCCTCCAAGGTTCCAATAATGGAGTCAACTCCGCGAATCGCTTATATTGCAGGCATTGATGTGGGCCAAATAAGCTGCATTAGGGAGGTACGTACACCTGGAGATGCATCTGGGGAAAACCCGTGGCGTTTGACTTCACATTGGCGCGCGGTGGTGAAATTTGACTTGGCAATGGACGAGCTTCGGACATGCAATAATTTTCCGGCGGCGGCATTTTAGCTAGATGGGGCAGGTCAGTTCATTCTCAGCTGAACCTGTGCGAGTTGACAAAAAAGAATTTAGAAGGTTTAAATTTAGGGGGTGGGCGTTGAAGTCAACTAATCGCGAGGTTTCCACCAGTTTCGCCTATTTCCCTAAAAATAGGCGAGGTACACCGAAAAGCAAATTTCAGCGAAACGCAAATATTTTTTTATTTCTCTCTAACCACGCCTTCTCCTAAGAAATCCGAAGAAGCAAAAGTATTATTTAAGTAATAAAAATAAGATTTAGATACTCTTATTAAGTTTCGCTCACCAAAAATAATATTCTACGAGCAAGTTAAGAGTAAGGTGCGATTTCGATTTTCGACGCACGGACCAAAAAGACGATTTTGCCCGCGAGAAAATCAACTTGCGTTTCGCTGAAATTTGCTTTTCGGTGTACCTCGCCTATTTCTAGGGAAATAGGCGAACTGGTGGAAACCTCGTGATTACTGGTCAGGGCGGCCGACACGGCTACAAGAGTAAACATCCTGGGCAAGTTCTCGCTCGCCAGAGTGCTGAGTTGTTTTTCTAAATTACGAGTGAATCATGGTTCTTGATTCATTATCGTGCCTTGAGACGATCCAAAGCTTCACCCAGAGGTTTAATGGAGGCCACTAACCACTAACCGTTTGAACAGGGTGGTGGACTTGTAACGCTACGCGTAATGTTGTAAAGTACTTGAGTCTTTACGTATCGCAAGCTACTTTTTCGTTACAGCGCGTGCGGTTTTCTAAAGGGAGGTCCCGAGCTCTTCTGGGCTGACCAAGCTACTTTCAGGGCTTCCGCGGGGGCCTTTCGGGATTTTCGGGCTTTCTAGGCCTTCTTACCCTCTAAATCTGGCTTTCAAGGCCCGGGCGGCCCGGGCCTTAGGATATGGATCATAGTACGAACCAAACCCCTTTTGGGATGCTCCTTGTATTTTTTTCGGGCTTATCTCTCCTCTTTTCCTTAATAAAACGGGTTAGTTCGTCGCGTGATTGTATTGTAAGGTGTGATATACTCTCCACGTTGCACCCTGGTAGTAAAGATAATTTACTTTTTGATTACTATATAGTTCTCGATGATATGCAGAGCGCTTAGGAGGACATTAGCGCTGACTCGGGCTTAGAAACCGATAAGATATATATCCAACTGTGGGGTCTTCCATACCGAACTTCCTATCTGGGCAAGTCATCTCTCTACTGACTACATCTTGAGATGTACCCCTCATTCAGATAAGAGTTGACAGGGTTGTTTACGAGCAGGATCAGGTCGCCAAGGCCTAAGCGAGCCCCTAAACTGATGGATTCGGTCATTTTGGGGAAACACCGCCCAAGGCAAGGTGTAGCTGCTGATTGAAACCCCGCGAAGGCTTTCTTGTGGTACTAGGCTAGGCTCTCATTGTCTCATCGTGTAAGAAGTTAACCTAAAGTTATTGCCGGCACGATGTATGCTTGATTTCTAAGACCGGTTGCAATCTTGGTATTAGTCAATCTTGTGCCGTGTTTTGAAACCTTTCTCTCCAACTTGATGTCCCGTCAGTGTTGAATTTTCATCAATACTTGGATGCGAAAGAATAGAAGACTTACGCCGGTATGGAGTTCGACGATTCCGAGTCAGAGAGCTTTCTTCCCCAGCCAATCTCCTCCGTCATTGGGAAACGGAGGATTATCTCCAACAAATTCGCCTTGTTAGGATGGATCCTGGCCATAATATCAATTGCTAGCAACTTCCATTCGTGGATAACCCCGAAGAAACTCACGGATATCGAGTGCACGCGGCAGCTCAACGCATGGTGTAAGTCGACAGAAGAGGGGACAATAGAATAGAAGTGAGATAAACAGCTGATGTAAATTCTTGTAGCTCCGGTGTTTGATATTGTAGAGTACGAAGACGTCCAATTTTCGAACACCTTCTACCAGCCAAGTGCATATAGAGGTAAACCTACACCCAAGCTTGAGAAATCATGGAGCGACCTCTGGAAGAGTAAGTTCATCGAAAAGCTCTTACAAGGATAGAAATAACAGAAGCAACAGTCGGATCGGTTGACGTTCCACTGGAACAACTTCCCGCATTGAACAAGTCGAAAGAGCATAATTGGTTCTACTCAGAAAATGGAGGTGTATTAGCTGGTCTTGAAGTCTTTCACAGCCTTCACTGCTTGGATATGGTTCGACAATATACGTACAAGGACGAGTATGATTACAGCGACAACCCGACGTTCCAAGATGATGACGAGTTCTTAAGAATTGTAAGTTTCCTGATCTTGTCAACAAACATATTTATTGACACCCTCACAGCACGTCGATCACTGCATAGACGCTCTAAGAATTCGGTTGATGTGTTACGCAGATGTGACACCCTTTTTACACGTGCTGGAGCCCGAAGCGGAGTTGGGAGCAACACCCGATTTTAACACGCAGCACAAATGCAAGAAGTTTGACAAGATCCAGGAGTGGCAACGAGCTCACCATGCCAGAGCGGCTGCTGGGCAAACCGAGGCTCATGGACACGAGGTTCATGGACATGAACATTCATAGCATTTGAAATGTCAAAACTCACGTACCGTAAAATAAACAAAGCACCTCACTTCGAACAGCATTCAATCGCTTCTTTTGAGTTCAATTTCGTGTTAAGATATAAGTTTTGTGAGAATAACGCCATTCTTCATGTCCACATACATTGCGGGAATTTCATCGCAATGATCGTATCGGTAGCCATTTTATCAATTCCACCTTCATCGCCTTCCATTCCTAGCAACATCATCTCACAATGTGCCGTGTGCCTATACGCTCCAATATATGTATCCACGACTCCCCTCTCATCCGTACTTCCTTGACCTCTGAGCAGTCCTCGATGCAGCTTCCTCCACATATATGTACAGTGATACATGTGATATTCCCTCGTAACATACAGTTCTCTGTGGTCTCCCTTTGAGACTTCATGCAATGGCACGGGATTGTCCTTTTCTGCATCTATCCACCATGTCCAGTTCCTTAATCTCAAGAACTCTGTCGTGAGCTCCGTTTCTGCGCAGGCGGGTGGGAGCCATGAGAATGACATGAGGTCGAATGTGCAATTTGCTTGACGGGCTGAGGATGGTGTGTCACCGCAGAAACCAAAACGAGCCCCTGGTTGTGGAAGAGCTATTCCTGAGGGTTGCTGGGGACCAAGAAGGTGCAGAAAGTACAGTGCGCATCCAGAGAGAAGCATGCTAAGGAGAGCAGTAACCACAACAAGAGTAACTAGGCTCGATGTCGTAGCTGGGATCCATATTCTTCGACGACTGTAGTGTAATTCGTCTATTCTTCGGTCTTTCTCGTCCTCGTATTCATGAAAGATCAAGTGGTCCTCCTCAGCGTTCGAGTCTGGCTGCGAAGGCTCAGGAGCTGAAGCCATGACAAGATTTCCGGAAGGGAGCAAGGAGGATGAGAGAACTCAGTCGACAACCGAGTGAGGGGCATTGTATGAGTGGCGCTCGTTGCAGCGTAGCTAGTGTGCGGCAAATGCTGGCATGCATCTCACTAAATCGGTCTCTTTGGGGCTTACTGTGCAGACCTGAAGTTAGCTGCCTACCAGTGGGCAACTCCCTAATGACTAAACTTGCAGTGGTTACTTTTCTGATTTAGTGAAGACCTTCAGAAGTTCTTCGAGTCTTTCCCTCTTTTTTGGTTTTTGGAAGATTGATATTTTGTTGATGTTAAAATATTAATAATGTTGTCCAGAGGTATGGGTTGCAAATCATATCTTCGCATTTCCTTCACTAGCCGCATGATTTGAAGCCGGCATTGTGACCATTCACATTGCTATCGCTTCGGCAACCGATAAGAAGTGCATGCATTTACGAGGTGCAAGTGGTGCAACCGAGTCCCCGGTGGGTCCTCAAAAATCCTCATTCGCACCCCTGTAACTCACCCGGTGGAGCACACAGGTTAACCCAGTGCGCTGCTTGCCGGTGCAACCTTCCTCTTAGGGAACTTCACTTCCTTGGGTGATAGCTTCGAAGATCAGGGATTCCGGCCCTTTTGAGAGCAGAGGCAGTTGCGATAGCCCATTATGATACAATATTACCTCTTTCAAATCGTGAAGGGGAACACCTCGCGGTGGCACCGTTGAAAGGGTTCGTTGATGAACGCTTTGGTTGAACGCTGGGGTATCGATCCCAAGCGAGATTGTCCCTCAGGCTACGAAGGCGGGCGGCATTAAAAACCGTCCATCCGCAAAAATGCGAGGAACACCAAAATCGCTACGTTTAGAAAATTACACCAAATCTCAACGTAATATCTAAAAGTCTTCAAAATAGTTTTGCGAGATAGAAAGGAAGCAGATGTAACTTTCGTAGAATTTTTTCGATTATTAAATGTGATACGGAATTACAAGAAATTCTTATTGCGAGGGTCAGGATTGCGCCCGCGCTCGCTTAGCGAATTGGACGAATTTTAATGCCGTCTGCCTTCGTATTGCTGCCCGCTCTTCGCAATTAATTATAGGAAGCTTATAGCGTACTCCTTCTAGATTTACAAATAACTTCATATCTACTAATTATAAAACAAAACCTTCGATTGCGCATATCCTCTACTTAATTCCGCCTCTCTTGTAATATTTCCCACGAGAGATTTGGACTTAAGCTCGTATTAATACGGCATGAAGAAGAGTAGAGTTTTCGGAAGGCTCGCTTAGGATCGATGTGGATCGATCCACGCGATCATGGATCGTTTCCAGGCCTGTACGGTATAGTTAGTTTAGAGCCTTTGCAGCACCTTTAGCAGTGAAGAAATGATAGTGTGACTGGAGAATATGTCTGATGCGTAAATGCTGGTGCGAATAATAACGTGTTGCTTGCAGCGGGTCGTGGGTGTCCTTATGGGCTCGCCTAATCTAAGGGGGGAGTGATTCATCTACGCGAGGGGTGTTTGCACCCATAGATTTTGCAAAAAGGGGTTTCTGGGGACCGAATTCTCAGAATATTTGGAGTGCATAAAGTTGATATGAATGTGAAAGTTGCATAGAATCGTAGTTGTCTTTCTAGGGCTGGGTTTCAACGCAAGCCACACTCATCACAAGGATCCCGACACTTCACACAAATTCGCGGCAATAGAAATCACCATTATTCTACTTGAATCAGCGCACGATTTTCTGATTTCCGTACCAGAATTTACCTTCACACAGCATCTTGGAGTCCTTGCAATCATGCTCTTTGAGCTACACTGGTAGTCCGGTATACTGGCTGACGGGTCGGTAAACGTTGCATCGACGCCTTCATGTCTGGGATCAGTTTCAAGATTCTTCAAGTTCATTTGATCAGACAAGATGCCATGGTAGGCTGGAAGAATAGAACGTACAAACAGTCTGGATATCAACAGGCGAGAGGCAGCATTCTCCGGTCGAGCCTCGGGGACAGGTGAAAGTGTTGGCGGCAGACGCGAGAAGCACTACGGCGAAAGAGAATACAAGCTTCATTTTGCAGACGGAACGCAATATGGAAAGGCTTCGTAGAAGGGCTTGAGTAAGGTTGCACTGGTTGGACTCTGCCTACGTCGAGTCAAACGGTTCAAACGGTTGTATTTATACGCCGAGCTAGAATCGCCGTAGGATGCGAGACGTTGCACAGCATAGTATTTTTAATGTTTAATTTGAGCTTCCGATATGCTGCAGCGAAGGAATCCTAAGTCAAGCCAGAGTGAGCCAAAAATAGCAAGAACTGGTCGGGGGCAGGCTGGGCAATAATACTTCTGGTATCGATAAGGTATTAATACTGGATGGTATTAGTTAGGTATCGCAAGAATCGATACGTATTAATACCGAATCAATACTTAGCCTAAAATTATCTCTTCCATTTATTATTTAATTTATATAATAATATATTTGTATATGATTTCTTTATTTTCTAGTCTTTCTACTAAAGAAATTACTTAATATTATTAATAAAAGTTAATATTATCTTGATTTTAAAATGGCCCTTGTATTCGGAGAATTTAGTATCATATTCGTATCTCTTATCGGAACGCTTATTATAAGCGAGCCTCACGAAAATCTCAAAAGCTATTTTTTGCTTAAAATAGCCGCATTGAGACGAGTTTTAGTCTAAACTATAAGATAAGTAGCTAAATAGAAAGCCTAAATTAAGTAGATTATTTGCGCTACCAAAAGTTTTCTTATAAGGGAAGTGGTTCTAAAGTTAATTGCAATTAAAGGGGGGAATTGGGTTCCGGGAATCAATAGGAATCAATACTTTATTAATAGTATTAATACCTTACAATTCTGGCATCGATACCTATCAATATGGCAGGGGTCTGTGCGGAGGAAGAGGTATAAGACTAGGGCTTCCCCCCCCCCCTTTATTCTCATGCAAGCTCAAGCTTTTCACACTTGTTTTTCAGGGTCTCTGAGCGCTTTTTCTCTATTTAAAAAGCTCTCTTTTTTGTTCCTACTTATAGAGTCTCGATTACTAATCCTATCTCTCGATCCCTTATATACATACTTTATTAGTTCTTAGTTCCCTCTCGATCCGGGAGCAATATTACTAACAAAATACCTGCATTTCCTCTCCCTTACCGTAATATTATCCAAAAAGAGGCATTAGGCCACCTATAAATATTAACCCGGTACCAACTCCAAGATTCGGCCTCCAAAAACCCCTTATACCGCTAGGGGAAGCCTCAAACGGAAAATGCTTTATCCCGAAAGCCCTACTAGCCCGAAATCTTACTAATTATTATCTCCCACACCTTACTTCATATTAAGAAGTAATAGAGAGATTAATAAACCTCGGATCCCTAAAGGGGCTATTAAATAATAGAGTTCAGCCTTATAAATACAAATCGTTTTACTATTTACTATAAAGCTTGCTCTATAATATATAATTACTTTAGTCTTAAATCTCTAATACTTAACTTCTATAGATCAAGCCCCTAATAACCTATACTAGCCCCCCGACCCCCTAGATACCCTCTATTAACTCTACCTAGAATATTTCCGGCCCTCAGAACAGCTTCTGTAATACCTAATCCCCTCAGGTTACTACCCCTTAAAATATACTAAACTACTAAAACGGGATTTGTAATACTCAAGTATTCTATATTATAACTTCCTTTTACTCCCAAGATTCCTATACTAATACCTGAAATACTTCCGGATATTAGATTAACTACTAAAATATATATCTATATTAGAACTAAATTAACTAAATTCTTCTAGAACCCAAAACAGACTGAAATACAAGCGGTTTTAGTAGCCGAATACTCAGATATTCCCGGTTTCAAAAATATAGCTCCTGATATATAAAAGCGTTTTAATTTAATATCTCCTAGCCTATATTTTCTAGCTAAAATAGTTTATGGTTTTAGCCTCAGAAACTACTAAGGCCTGCTCAAGTTATCTCTCTATAAGCCCAGTATACTATTTTTAGCCCTTAGTATTTCTTTACTAGTTCCCTGCTTTTACTCTAATCCTACTACTATCCTACTATAGTTATTAGCCTTAAGGAACCCTTAATAGATATTTCCGGATTACGGTAGAGCCTTATTAAGCCTAGTCTAGTATAAACTTATTTAAATCCTATTACTAAACCAGATCCCAGAATAAGTCTATAGTTTTTATCTCTTCCTTAATCCCCGAATTATCTTCTATTATAGAATTAATTTTTTCTAGCTCTAATTTAGAAAACTAGAACTAGTAAACCGGAAATGATTTATTAGGCATATCGGATAAGAATTCAGAAACGGAATATTAGATTAAGCTTATAAAAAGAAACTCGGCTTTTTCTAAAAGGCAGCTTTAATTAATAGAAACTATACTCTCTATAAAGAAATAGTAAACCAAGTAACCCGTAATTATAAACCCTTTATTAGCCGGCCCTTTAAATCTAGTAAAATAGCCTGTAACTATAAAGCCTCTCTATATAAAAACCCTATCTAAATTAACTAAAGTACTTGGAAAAATGGCCAGAATTCGCTTCTATATACCTGCTAGCTTCCAGAACTTCTCAGGAATAGTAGCTATAGAACTATTTTCTTTCTAGCTTTTTTAGCTAATTATAGTAACTCTAGCTACTAATAATTAAGATATTACCGGTATATCTAAGAAATAAATTCACAAATAATATTAATTAAAGATTAAAGCTATTAGAGCAAAAATATACCTTTAGAATACTAAAGTAAATAAACTCAAATACTATATCTTTTTCTGCTATATCCAAATAACTACTATACTAGCCCTAACTATAACTTTTTAATCCGGCCCGGTTCCTGGAACTAGTATTTTAACTTATTACTCTCCCGGAATTCCTTTTCTATTTAATACCAGAATACTAATCTTAATAAACTAAACTATAACTATAAACTTTGCTTTTTTATTTCAAGTCTTATAGGAAATAAGTAAGATAAAATCCTCTCTTATTATATTTATTATAGCTTATTATATCGGAATTAATATAGCCTTAATTAATAAAATTATTACTAATACCTTTATTTCTGCTAAGCTATATAATCTCCAAGTTAGTATTAGTAGAAATACAAATATAAATAAATAGGTAATATATTAGAAAGATAATATTCTTATAATTAGTTTTTTAGTAATAGAAATTAAGAAGTTCGATAATAACTCTATAATCTAGTTAGAGAATTTTAATACCTATATATTAATTCTATTTATATTATATAAATATTATTTTATCTTATTTTTTACTATAATCCGGTTCTATTATATAATTCTCGAACTAGAAGTAATATATATCTAGAAAGCTATTTTAAACCTTATTCTCTATTATTACTAGTATATTATTTACTATAGTATTACTAATACTATCTTATAAGACAAGATTTCTAATAGCTATACTAGTATCTTTCTTACTATTACCTTAATAAGAGTTTACTAGGGCTACTAAGACCCGAGCTTATTAGGAAAAACTAGAAGCCAGAAATATGAATTCTATAAGAGAATAGGATTTCCGGCTATAGGTTCCTAAAAAAAATTAGCTTTGCTTTAAATAAAATAAGGAAAAGAATAGCTATAAGAAACTATATTATAATAGAAAGAAGTATATTTATATGAATTATAGGACTTCGAAATATAAGAAGTTCAAGTATTATAAGAAATAAGAGTTAATAGAAGAAATAGCTAATTTAGAACTTATAATTTTACTTAATAGCTTTTAGTATATACCTGCTTTCTTATAACCTAATATTTTTATTTTCTTCTAATTCTTTAATAAGCTATTACTTTTTCTTTCAAACTTCCCTTCTCTCTTTATAATTCCTATATAAGATATTTTTCTTTTTTACTATTTAGATAATCTTTTATCTCTTTTATATAGTATTCTTTTTTTTAGTTATAAGCTAGGCTATATGAATTCTTTATAGTTCTAATTATTAAAGAACCTTTTCTTAGTATTTATTATATCTAATATAATTCAAGATTAGCTATAAGAGAACTTTTTATTTAGAAGAATTATAAAGTATATTATTCTAGAATAAGTAAAGAAAACAGATATAAGTTTATTTTCTTATTACTAGGCTTAGTAAATAAATATAATAGGGGTTTCTATTATATTTATTATCTTTTCTTCCTAAAATATACCTTAGTTAATAATTATATTCCGGATAAATATAATAAAATTATATATTTCTTAATAAATAATATCTTTAACTTAGTATATTAAATAAATTATAACTATTATAGGAGGGAAACTATAATAAGACAAAAACCTATATAAAGTATATTAGAGTACAAAATATAACTTAATAGTAAATTAATAAATTAAAAGTATAAATAGTATATAGTATATAAAAGCTTAATTAATTAAATACTTATAAGGAATTATTCTCTAAGTCTATAGAAAAACCAGCTTTCTTATATGATTTCTATAAGTTATATATAAAAGACTATAGTCTTTATTATATAATCTAAACCTTAAAACCGCTAAAATAATATAATTTTTAATAAGTATAACCTATTATACTATATCCGATCTCTTATTTATTTATACTTATTTCCTAAGTACCAAAAATAATAGAAAAATCCTATTTAGAGTCCGAAATAATAAAATATTCAGGATCTTTCTCTATTAGTTAATCTAATTTCTTTTCTATATATCTAAAATAAGACTTATTACTCTTAAATAGTTTTATTTCATACTCCCGAATTTATTTAAAAGTAATTCGAACTCGCTTAGCTATATTCTTATACTAAATCCAATATAGTTCTCTATATTAATTAGTATTTGCTTTTAATTATTACTTAATTTCCGCCTTTACTATAGAATATTAAAGAGGCTTATTATAGTAAATTATATTATAAATCACACTAATATACTCTAAATAAATAGCTTCTTTGAATTTCGTATTATTTACTATATTCTTAAATTAATCTTTAATAAAAGATAAAAGCTCTAGATAAGAAGCTTTAATAATCTTATAAGAGATTCTATTTTCGTATATTTTATTCTTAATAGTAACTAGACTTATTAAAACTATAGTAAAAGGCCTATTAAGTAGTAAATTATTATTAAGCTA